CCTGGGAACTCTTATTGGCAAAAGATTTTCCGAGTACTAGTTTTGAAGTATGCATTTCTCTCATTCTGGTTGACTGCTGGATCATACGGCTGTAAGCTTACTGAATGAACAGCTCCAGCAAAGTTTCATTGATTTGGCAAATACTTCTAATATTGACACTTCTCATCACCAATAGGTCACAGCTCGTCGAGCTAATAAATGTTTTTGAGATATTTCACAATGGTACATTCCACTCGTATGTTTTGGATACATAAATGCTTTTTAAATTTATACCCTAGTATTTAGGATTCTCTCTTGTTTGACGACGTTTTGTTGGCAAGCATAGTAATATACAGATGCTACTCTAAGACTGCCACAAAATATTGTGAAGCACGATTGAAAATGAGCTTTGAACTTACAAAGTGAGAAAAATTAAAATCCCTCCCCTCAAAGTTCATTCTCAAGATTAAAACCGATTTCGAGAAAAGGAACAACAAGTTAAACAAAACGGTGTAGGAAACGTCTACTGTAGTTAATCAGAAAATTTCCTAGTATTATAAAATATTTGACTTATTTTTTAGATTCATCGTGCCTAGTATGGAACCAAAATCCTATCACCGTTGCAGGAAATAGAACTGCAGGTAATAGTACGCGTTCATTCAATGGACCATGGGATTTGTCAATTGACACAAATCTAAATCTATATGTTAGCGACGGTGGCAACAATCGTATTATAAAGTTTTCAAGTGGCAATTTGGTTGGGATACCGCTGATAAGTGGAGTCGGCAAGGGTCTTAGCCAAGTTTCAAACCCATCAGGATCCATCATGGACGCTAACGGCAATTTATACATTTCCGACATGCTCAATAACAGAATAATGAAATATGCTAATATTTCTTCCGCATCACAATCTGTCATCGGNGTCAAGTTGTTCCCGGTGGTAGTTTTGGATTTAATTACAATCAACAATGGATATCTTGGGGCGTAGCAGTCGATGCTCTTGGCAATGTTTTCGTATCTGACTGTGGAAATAATCGCGTAATGAAATGGGCACCACGATCTACTAATGGAACTCTAGTAGCTGGAATAGGAAATGGTACCGCGGGAAACGGTACGAATCAACTCTCATGTCCATTGGGTATTTATGTTGATCAAAGTATGGCGCTTTACATCGCTGACGCTTTCAATGGACGAATTCAAAAGTGGCTATCCGGTGCATCAACAGGTACAACAGTCGGCGGTGCTAACGGACAACTACGTTTTCCGACTGATGTTTCTGTTGATAATTACGGAACCATTTATGCATTGAGTGGTGGTGGACTCTATCGATTTTATCCAGGCTCGACTTCGGGTACCATTATTATTTCATCTTATACAGAAAGTTTTGGTTTTAAATTCGACTCAGTTGGTAATGTATACATTGCTGACTATGTGTCGAATGTGATAAGCAAATATACTGTCAACAGTACAAGGTGTGGTGCGTATATGCCTCGCTATGAGTTATACAGCGTCAAAATCAACAGATCTTTTTTTCTATTCTAGGTACTAGCAGGGCATCAACTCCAGTTGCATCATCAAAAGTTGCCTCAATGGCGGTTCCAAGTAAGAGAGATTCTCTTCTCTCAGTGAGACACCCGAAAATAGTTTCTCTTCGCATAAAATTTCTCATATTTCGTTTTAAAAAGTTCACTACTTTTATGATAGCTTCGACTAGTAGTCACTGAATGATATAATTCAGTACTTAGATGAATGGAAATGAGTCGTTAATGTGATTTAGAATACTAGTGTAATCGTAGACATACATACGGATGGTTCTTCAAGAATAAATAAGATTGCGTATTTTTTCAATATATCGTTCGCTTTTCATAGTTTCAGATTGCTTTTTTTCTCATTAAATTACAGCTGTAAATTCTCAACAAACCATAGAGAAACAAAAAGTTCAGTATTAGTACATATCGAAGCATTATGACGAACTTTCAAAACAGAGCTAGAACAAGTACTTTTGAAAAATGTAGCTATTTCAATAATAACTCTTCCATCATTCAAAACAAGATCATAATCAATAGTTTCATTCTGCTTTTTATCTTTGACTGGACAAATTTCTACGTCTGAATTCTCTCAGTACATCGATACGTAATTGCAAAACTTGTAAGCACTTATGGTACTTGCAAACTTTGCAATTGACCACAATCATTTATTGCGCGGAGTTCACATAACAAAAGAATATTTGCGCATTTCGTCTGCACAATAAGACAAATCTCTTGTAATAATCATGAACACTCTGTCTGATGAGCCATGAGGAAACAAATTTTAACTAAATATATTGGCAGAATATTAACTTTCTAGCTAGGAAAAAATCCATAGTATGACTGAATAATTTGAAGAAAATCGTAAAGTACGGGAAAAAAATTAAATTTCACAGTGTTATGTACTTTTGAATGATGAGGAACATGAAAAATTGAGTTAAAATTGCGGTTTTCTTTTGAAAATTTGTACAAAATAATACTTATTTTGTGCTATATTATTCTATTGTGACATTTTTAACCTTCTAATAAGATATAGAATTTGAAGATCAGTAAAATGGATAGCTCCAACAACTAACGTTATTCATTGACATGAAAATAGATAAATGCAAGAAAGTTATCTTTTTTCTTTGAAAGTTGTTGAAACATTTGAAATGGTATTCATAACATGAGAAGTCCTCGGAATTCAAAAATAGTGCATATAATATGTCGAATTTTGAGAAATTTTCGCTTCCATTTTTGAGAACAACACGTCTTAACAAGATGGAATGAATAACGATATTACAGTGAGATCACTTTTTGACTATGCCATGGATTTTTGATAAGTAAACACTCGCATATTACTGATTGATTTCTGGATGATCAAAATGAAACAATCGTGTTGATATTCATAAATACTTTGACGGGTTATGTTTTGGTTATTAGTGGGAAAACAACATTTGTTTTTCTATTTTTCGCAGATGTTCAAGGCATTTTGGAAGCAGTTCTAGGAAACGCTCGACTTCGATCACTGGATCTTGCAACTGCGCATTAATCAATACACAATGATTAAATTGGCATTATTATACAACTTATACCTCTTACGTTCAATCTTTTGGCAAACTGTATGATATTGCTATTCAAATGAAACTTTTTTCTATAGCAACGATTCAACATATATTCATGAATAATGTGTTTTCTTTCCGTCTGCTTCTTCTATTAGAGAACTCAAAAATATTCAACACAACCTTTTTTTCCGTAACTAAGACAAATTCATTTAATCATTCATTTTTTTTACTAACAATTTTATATTCATATTTAATCTTGAAAATATACCTTTACAAATAATCATTGTTACTTTTAATAGTTGCTGAAAGAATCATTAGACGCCATTTATATAATATTTGTTTGAGACCGATCGAATGATATGGGCTTTAAGCTTTTCATAAATTTTTATCTGTAGAAAATTCTCTTTTCAAGAGAAATATCGTTTTGACGATAGGATACCATATATGATAAGTTCTAGACTTGAATTCAACTGAGTTTTCAAGTTTCAAATTTGACACTGCTGCCTACGAGACCTATAACTTGCACACTGTCAACCATTCTCTGTAGTATCATCTCATCGTTTAGATTCAGTATTATGAAAACTTTTGCGAAAAACCATGAAAGATAATGTTACAAACACAGATCAATTTATTTCAAAACTAAGTGGTATTGGCTTAGAAGATGATGATTGTTGCCTTATAATGATCACTTTTATTGGGATGAAATGTAACTCATGGTAGTTGGTCGTCCCTTCATTCTCAAGATAAATTTTTTTATTCAATTGCTAATGAGGAAGACTTCTCTGGTATTATCTTCTACTTCCCAAGGTTAATATACAGTCATGTATTAATTCACTTCCTGAGAAATAAATCTTCTATACTGTTACTATCTGTTACTTGATAATATATGTTTATCAGTAGAAGTGAAGTACAGTTGTATTGTGCTCACTCCACAATCTCAATTTTTTCACTAGTGGTTTTTTCTGTTTGACGATGATGTCATTATATAAATATCAATCGGGCGAACTCCGAAAGTCTACTGTAAAAAAAACAGAAAATGTGATACTTTTAAGTTTTATTTTGAGATTAAAACAATGTTTATTAAAGAAAAAGAAGCACTAGTCATAGTAAAATATTCTTTTTTTACATAGTTGAACATTGATTTTATGAAGTATAAGCTTGAAATGGTTTTTATTACGATCAAACTAGAAAACTATTTGCACATAGCGAAAAAGTTCGATGTTTGTCATCGACCAAATGCTTATACATCCCTTAGCTACACATTTGCCTGAGAGGCAATCATATGAACCTGCACAACATTTATATTGTGGATTGTGATATGGCCCGTTATTGCTACAAGGTGCATCCCATTTTCCACATTCTGTTCCTGCCTTATAATCTATCATAATCGTATATATATGTCCATCTTCATCGTCCCGTGCTTCATCCTCGGTTTTCCGTTTTTCATCGTCTACTAGGAATTCTCTTTTTCCAAGAATTAAATCAAGTAATTCAGCGTTAGATAAGTCATTGAGTCGATATGATTGAACGAAGCTCTTGGATAGATATGCAACCAGCAAGCTTATCATGAAGAATAAATGTAAATAACGCATTATATAATGATAATAATAAAACTATCAATTGGACTAAAACAAGAAACATCATAGACAGGAATTGGTTTCACTTTTCACAATATCAATAGAGGCTTATAATTGAGCCGAGTACAGGAGTATCATGTGGTTATTAGAAGGGAGACATGAACGTGAGAACATTTTAACCATTATTCTGAGTTGTTCAGTGTAACTAAACGTTTTTCCAAAAAAAAAAGTTCTTCGGACAAGCTGATATTTTATCGGTTTGATTGAAATATTTATTATTCATTCATACATAAAATCTCTTTCTATTCCGTAACTTATCTCTCGGTTTCTCTCCTTTGATTTTGTTTTGAAATACAAGATATCCATGCATGATACTTTCGGGTTTCACCAGAGAGAGAACTCGATTTATCACGTATTTCATTCTTCTCCTTGGTTTCTAGAAGAATTATTATCAGTCAAATAATTGCACAACAACCGCTAGATTACTTACGTTAAAGAGTCAACGAGTAATGACAAACAATTACTTCCTTATTTTGATGAGGAGCGACGTTGAAATAATATCTACTTGGCCTACGATAGACTCATTTTTATACTCTCGTCTCTCTATGTATCTATTGATCATGAGCATACGCTTTGCTCTATCGAGTGAGCTTCACCAGAAATAGAAATGAGATTATCACTCTGGAAAAAAATGAAACAACGCGACGATTTTTTTCTCAAATGAAAGGAGACTCATACGATATAAAACAAGTGTGTGTTACCATGGATATGTCTATACGCACTTATTTATTCATGTGTATCCATTTGCTCGTGAAATCAATCAAATATGACTGAAGGTAACCGAGTTCGGTGTAGATGAAGATAACATTATATTTGAGTAAAGCCTGTTCATATTAGTTTCAGTCAATGTTTCAACTGTGATACTCACGTTTCAAGTAGAGCTTGGTCAGATCTGTCTAGTGGTGTTTTCAGATTCAGACATTTATCTGGTTCCGTCTATCATTACTACTTGAAACATGGATTCGAGAGTAGTACATACTCAGCTAATTTTCCACAATTAAAACTACCATAATCCCTTCTCCGCAGACTAAGATACTTGAGTGCTAACTCTCACATGAAAACATCAATGCTCAAATTATTATAATAACTCCATTCAAGTAATATCGAAATATTAGTTCTTCAATTACTTAAAAATCAATTAATTTCAACAACAAAACATTTTTATTTTTTTTCATATGTCTATCTCATTGAGAAGACAAAGCGAAATTTCGTGCAACTGATTTTGTATCAAAATGTGTTTTAATGCCAACAGAAGCAAGCTCAGCAATAAGATATTGTAATACATATGGTATAGTCACACGTTGTACAGTATTTGACGATGAACCATAACAATATCGGCAAACATAACCAATTTTCGATTTCACTAAGGATATTAATGAACCACAACGTGAACATACATATGCACGTGTTTCATCGGAACAATGAAGAAGACGATCAAGAAGAATGCCAGCAACACCATGGCCAAGTAATGCATCACGTTCCATTTCACCAACACGTATACCACCTTCACGGCGACGACCTTTCACCGGTTGATTTGTTAATGCATCAACTGGGCCAGTTGTACGAACCTTTTTTCAAAAGAAAAAGAAAAAGCGTTTCTTTTATTTCTGTCGGCATTTTGTTTTTCCTCACTTGAAATTTATCGCTAACTAAATGCCGTAAACGTTGATAATAAACCACACCAATAAATATATCAACTTCAAACTGTAGACCAGTTGTACCACTATACATAGATTCTGTTCCGTAGTAACTGAACCCAGCTAAAAAGTCATTGATAAATATAAAAATGAATAAAATCTTGTTTTTCTTTCTAACCAGCTTTTAATAATTGCCCATAGTAATCAACAGCCGGATAATCATCATTGAATTGGAATGGCGTACCATCATGTGATAAACCATGTAAGACAGCTGATTTTCCTGCCATAAATTCTAACAACATACCAATTGTCATACGAGATGGAAAACCATGAGGATTGAATATAATATCAGGTACAAGACCTGATTCTGTGAATGGTAAATCTTCAGCTGGATATAAACGTGAACAAACTCCTTTTTGGCCATGGCGTGAAGAAAATTTATCACCAATGATAGGTGTACGCTAAAAAAAATTGAAATTTTTATTTATTTTTTTGATCGTCAATTGAGAACAGTTATAGTGTAGGCTCAAATTTATGTTTCTCTATCTCAACACTCCTTTTAGATCATCGTTGATAGAACAAAAAATTTATGAATAGCCAATTACAAATTTTTACCATAATTCGATACATAATCCATGCTTTTGATTTTAATATTTTACCATCTTCATCGCCAACAAGTGTAACTGACATAATATATGCTGGTTCTTTTTTATGATATCGAACTGTTTTATATTCTTGTGTTAATGTATTCAAATAGCAACAAAGAACTTCATCGGGTTGTATAGTTGAACCAATAACCGGTAAACCATCAGCATCTAAATGACGCCAATTTGGATTTTTTGTATCCAATGCTAGAATATGAAAATAGTAACCTTTTTTGTTGAGTAATAATAGAATAGCTGCTTACCAAATACAAGTTGATGTTTTCCTTGATCAACTTTATCAGTAACTAACTCTTGTAAATCAACGAACTAGAAAAATATTATAATTCGTCACTAAATCGATTAAAAAGAAATCATTTCCTACTTCAGATGCATAAATAGCACCATGAGCAAAACCTCGTTCAATAGAACTTTTATTTATAACCATAGCATCTTCCATATCATATCCCTTAAAAGTTTTGTAAATATAAATTTCAAGAAACATGTATCTTTTTCTTCGTTTTATTTACTGTATAAGAAAGTACGGCAACAATTGCATTTGTACCCATAGCATAATCATCAAGTGCGTATTGATTATAAACGCTTGTTCGAATAAGTGGTGCTTGTGGTGTTGTGATATAATATAATTTATTATCATTTCGTTTTCGATATGCTAACGAGGGTGTACCCATCGTTTGCTTACCCATTTGACATTGATACATATTACGTGGTGATTGATTATATTCACTAAACGGCGTTAAATTAGCTGTTATGGATAAGAAATTATATTGTGCTAATTCTTGATGAGTTGTATACTAAATAAGAAAATATTTATATAGATCTAAAGACTATAATCTAGTAGTATTCTTACTTCTGGTACAAATTCATCATGAGTTATACAAATACCGAGATAGACTTGTTCGAATGTACCAATATATTCCGTCGATTTTGTTATTAAATTCATTACGGGTCGTATCAATCGAGCTGGTGTCGAGAAAATAAATAATCCTGGATAGAGTGTATATAAACCGTGAGTTTCTTTAGGAACCAAAACGATTTCTAAATATTCTGATACACCAGAGCGGCGACGATTTCCTGTCACTTTATCGTAACGTAGTTGTGCGGCAACTAATGATGCTCGCGTATCATCGATAAATCTTAGAAAAACAAATTTCATAGAAAAATTTAAAGCAAAAACTTTATATACCCAACAACTTGTCCATCAAGAATAACATCATAACAATGAACATCAATCGATGGTACACGTCGCATACCATAGGAAATCAATGTATCAACAAGAGCTTCGGTTGATGTATTTGTTGCTGTTTCTTGTGTTACTTGGCATGTCATACATAAATGATTCAGTAAACCGCATAGAGAACCATCAGGAGTGTGAACGGCACATAGAAAACCCCATGCTTCAGGTAGTAATTTTCGAACGGATGTTGTTTTAGCTTCAGTAAATGCATCACCACGATGAACAGACCGAAAATGTGATATGAAACGAAGAATATTTAAACGTTCAGCAATAATCGAAAAACCACTTGTCTAAATGAAAAGTTCCATTTTAGAGAAACATTTTTGTGATTAATAAGAATAGTCTTTTGGTAACACTTCTGTCTATGCTTTCAATTCTTTGAATTTTTTTATCATGAAAAACGAACCTGTCTTAAACCAAGATTTGTTTTCGAATTAAGATTACCAGTAGCTAGAAAATGTTCAAAAGCTTTGGCTATTTGATCTTTATCAATAGTATCCATTGCTAGACGAAGTTCTGTAAATAAAAATTTAGCACAAAAAAAAAGCAAAATATGATCGAAACGAAATAATTACACTTACGCACTTGTAGTTATTGATGCATCACTTGATGTTTTAGCACTTTTATTCAGTTTTAAAAATGTTTCACGCAATGATACCAACCATGTTTCTAATCGTTCCTTGAAGAGAAAAAGGAAGCAAGTTTTTATTAATATTGTCATGATGTACTAGAAAAATTTACTGATAGTAATGCTAAATAAACATGTCCAGGCAAAAGAATTTCATGCATCGATGGTGCATCTTGATCTTCTGCTTTACATTCATCGCGTACATATGAGAAAAGTTTACGCATCATAAATCTAAACAAATAAATTCGTTATATTTTAGTCAATATAATTAGTATAAAATACAGACATTAACATATTAAATTTAGCTTTATCAGTTTTTAAATGAATTAATATATAATTATCAAGTAAATAACGTGCAACATCAGCATTCGTATGCCATGCTGGTCGCTGTAGACGCGTACGAAAATGTGAACCAACATAATCAATTACAGATTGACGGGTTATTAATGGCTTTTCACACCAATATGTTTTTTGTAATTGACGAAGCATATATTTAATATTACTTTAAGAAATAAAAGAAATCAACAACGATGATACCTATAGAAAATTGTTTCCATCTTACTTATCAAAAGCACTATTATTTTCGTATGTACCACGCATAAGAGTTGCATGAATTTCTCGATCAGATGTATTATCATCAGCTAACATCTAATAAATAAATTCTCGTAATATAAAATTAACTCAATTAAAGATTGTTTTCGGTTCGACCAATAAGAACCAATAGATAGTAAATAATTGTAAAAGAGAATCTTACTTTGAGAATCATAACAACAGGAATAAAATACATTTCTTTACGATACATAAAAGCTAAAGAAATGGCACCGGTGTCCAAATAATGAAGCGTATTTTCCTATTGAAAAAATTAAAAAAACATTATTTCTACAACGTTTTTCCAGTGGTGAAGACTAAGATTTGTATTGTTCGTAAGATATGTTTAGTTTTATATCAAGAAAAGAAATCACAGATATACATTCAATAGTTCTTTCTAATTATACAAATCTGTTTTCTCATGATTCGCTGTTATTCTGGATTAAAACGCATCTGAACGATTAGTCCTCATTTAATCAATTTTAGTCTATTTTTAAATAGATTAAAAACTTACAACACCACGTTGATCATCTGATAGACAACGAATTTGAAGACCACGATCGGTAAATCCAGGACCACGTTGACGCCAACGACCACGAGACATTGCCATAGGCTAAAGAAGTCCAACAAAAAAAAATCAACGTCAACTATCTGTAGCAATTTTTTCATTTGACTAACATAATTTCGTCTTGTCATTGTTAGTAAACGTAAAATACGTTCATATCCTTTTACTACAAAGTAACCACCATTTTCATTTGGTTCTTCATATTTTGAACATAGTTCTTTTGTAGTCATATTAGCTAAATTGCAGGCATCACTCTTAAAAATAAAATTATGTTGCATTCTTTTGAGAAACATTTCGATAAATCCATACTCGAACCATAACTGGTATTGAACCAAGACTTCTATCATATGATTCACGTCCAATTAATTTACCATTTTGATCAAAAACTTCAGCATGAATACGAGCATGCAATGTTCCAGAATATGTACTTTTACTCATACGAGCCTAGAATGAATAATAAACATTATGGGTATGATTTCGTCTCTACCAAAAACAAACATACTTCAGCGGGATAAACATAGTGACTACGACGATTGGCGCCGACAATTACTTTTGCTTTAGGCCGGGCTATTTCCAAACTCTAAAAACAATAAAAGAAAGATTTAGATGACAAAAAACCTTTGGTATACATACAACAAATTTTAATTTAACACGTAATTTAGTATTTGTTTCAAATTCTAATGGTAAAATGGACTGAAACATGAAAATATTCAAATGAAATTCGATGAACAAAAAATGAATATTCTCTCCTTACGCTTGCTGCTTTCATTAAGCCTTCTTTAAGCATCCAATTAAATGAATCCACATGTGGCCGAGTAACATCACACATAGCCTAGAATAATTAAAAAGAAAAATTAGGGATACTATCATTAAAATAAATTATAAACCTGTATGGGTCCATTTGTACTGTTAAATGTTTTAGTTAAATATTCAAATGCTGGATCTTGTTGGCGGCTGGAAGGTGATGTTTTAGCTATTACATAGCTATCACGATTCTTTTTACCCATTTTAAAAGAGAAAAACTCTACGAAACATAAAACAACTGAACGAATTAAGCTATGAAATCCATGAAATATCTCAACTGATGTGTATTGGTTATTTCATTGCATGCCATCATCCAATCAAAGAGCGATACCATTTCCTCATTACTGTCGTTTGATGATAACAAAAAAAATAAATGACATTGAGTCATATGGATAGGATAGGATTACAAATTCAACAAATCGACAGTTTTCATTTTTAAAGAAAACCTATTCTAAAAAGTATTGATTGATGTTCCATTGCACTTGCGCTGCAAAAAGAGATCGCTTGTAGAAGTAAAAAAAAGTGGCGACGAGAGTGAGATTCGAACTCACGCGGGCAGAGCCCATTAGATTAGCAGTCTAACGCCTTAACCGCTCGGCCATCTCGTCTGAAAGTTTCAGTGGTAAAAGATTTCATGAATGCGTTCGTTCATGACTTGTTCGATTGTTTAAATAGCAATAAAAAGTAGCGACAGATTATTATTTGAGAAGAGCTTTGAAATAAACGAAAATTGATAAAGATCGATGTGCCTGTGTAAGAGTCACTTAGATACAGGATCCGATTGCATATTCATAGTAAGACTTGACAAGATGTCAATACTAAAGTATTTTTTATTACTAAGTCAATATTTGAATATGCTGGTCACAAAAGTTCGAAAAATTACTGACTGATCGATTGCTAGCATGCTAGTAAACGATATGATTAACCTTGAAAAAAGCTAAATTTCTTTTTATCATAATACACAAACAACGTAATTGTCTTCTGCATCATTTCTTAGATTTTTGTAGTGATTCTCAACTTGACAATCAGAACAACAAATACTTCTAAGCGCTTGTTTCAACCTGAAGCAATTACTTAGACGTTCATGTTTATATCGTTTCGATTTCTCCACAGTACACGAAGAATAAACACTAACAAGAAGTATCCTATGAGAACGAACTTTTAGACAAGACGGTGATGAAATTGGAAAGTAATAGTCGATCTATTCTGGTAATGAATAATATCTTCAGAACAGGAGTATGTATTTAAGAGAAAAATAATTCCTCGAATAAAAACTTTTTTGTTTCAAGAAAAAATGATACTCGAAAAAATTTGCCTTTAACTGGAATTACTATAATACTTGGCTTCTTTGCAATGTCAACAATATTTCTTTATATAGTTTCTTTTTGACTTGACGGTGTGACGTGCCTTTTTGTTTATAATACATGAAGATATTGTTATCTAACTAACAGGCGCGTATACTTCTAGAATCTAGTTTTTTCACTACTACAGTATTCTAGTCTGTGTGTATCCTTCACTATCGGTTAGTCTGATATTTTGTATAGAAAAAAAAAGCTAATTGATGAATCGTTCAATTTTAATAATAGCAACAACCAAATATTTCGCATAGGAAATATGTCAATATAATAAACATGTAGACGAGTTCAAGCTGAAAATAAATATTTAAAACTGAAAATAACAATACTCATAACTTCTGTAATGAATTCGGATTTCTCAAGGGATAGAAGCAAATTCTATTCTCACTAGTTGAAATATTGTTCTCTTCGATGACCAAATTGCTTGTTGACTTTCAAATTTAGATGGATCTATCTATGGAAATTTTTGAATGGTGGTAAAGAGCATGGGTTGAATTATTTTTGACTGCTAATTCTCGGGTTCACAGGAACTTTAAGCATATGACATCGTATTCAAGCTAACGATAGACATATTCTGTAACCATTACATGAACAGAATCTTATGCGAACAATGCTCAATTTCAATAAAGTCAGCTGCAAATGTAACTAGAAATAGTAGAAGACATTCATCAAATTCAGTTCATATATTTTATTAATTATTCAATCTATACAAATTGCTCTGTCATATTTTTTTTACTCTAAATAAATTTACAATGAAATCGATCATTTTATTGAGCAGATAAAAACCGGGAAAATGCAAGAAAAAACAAAATAAAAGCTAGTAGAATGATAGCATACTGTCACATGACATGTTACGAGAGTCGAATAAAGAATAACAAGGAAGCATTTAAATTTAGCAAGAATACATCGGTTGCAATCATAAGATAAATCATCGCATGCGCATCTTAGAATGATTATAACACAAAATAGGAAAAAATATTCAATCGAGATCAATATAGCTTACAAAAATAAACTTTTTCAAATACAAAAATAAAAAACAACAACTACCATAGTCATTTGGGTATCTTTCAGCGTAGTTCATTCACAATGAAGGACAAGAAGGAAAAAAATCATTTAATAGTTTCTCCTTCTTGATTTTCTCCTGTAAAATTATTGAAATATTTATTACATTAATATGCGTAGATACTCAATTGAGTATCACGAGTGTGAGTTGGGACCGCTTTGTTAGCATTTATTAATGGTGGTAATTGAACAACAGAACTGCACTTCTTTGGTCTGTAACGATGCGATAATTCGGCTTGATCAGAGTATGGCATAAAAATGAGATTAGTTGATGATGGCAGTTGATATGTTGTTTCTTGAATAAAACTTGGTTGAGTTTGTGTACATCTCATTTGCTGCTAGAAAACAAAGCAGAATATCACGAAAGATTCGTTCTTTTAATGTGATCATCAAACAGAAAATTATGAAATTCACATACTTTTCTAACTCGTCGCTTGAGTGAAGTTATAGTATTTCCGGATCGATTTGATAAGGAATTTTTTACATAATGATTATCTCGTTTCATTGAAATTTCTATTGATGAATCAAGTGATTTCAATGCATCTATATATACATATATATGAATAAGAAAGAGAGAATAAAATAATTTATTGTTAAGCAATAGACTTGAACCTGATTGTGCAACAGAAGCTCGACGAGATTGAGTAATAGCAAGTGATTCATCAATATAGGATTTTAACGTTACATTTTGATCTTCAAACGATGTTGACGACTAAATATAAATTAAATCAATGTGAAAAATAATCTCGGAGAGAATAAATAAATTCTAAACAGTAAAGAAAAATATCGTATGTCAGTTTACTTATTTATTTGCTTTTTGCATCTGACAAAACGATTGCATTCAAGAGAATTTTACTCTTTCGAATTAAAAAAAAACTATATCAAATAGGAATCTGAGTTGATCGAGTTTCATTAGTTTGTTGCTATGATTTCTTCTATAATATTCGATTAGTGCAGATAGGATCTTGTCAAAATCGAATAGCTAGGTTGAATTGAACTTCAATAAACATTTATCTAAATAATTGCTCTCCTTTAGATAATTCACATACAATGATGTCTGATATTGTGCCGTTTTTTCCGGTCGTTCGATATTTTCGTGTAACACCAGGTTTAAGTCGAGCTAGTAACAGTCGATGCCAATCGTTACTATTAGTTGTCGAAGATGTTACAGAGTTCTGAAGAATACAAAACGAATGAATAAATTGACGAATTCTCAAAATTAATTTAATTTGAACAAACTGTCAATATATCACTATGAATATCTTTCTGATGTTTATACGTTCTTTTTGATTTTGTGTACAATGAATTAAGCGTCTCGGTCATGGTCTCTGCCGTCATCATTGAATTCGATATGCCATCTGTGTGTTGACTTACGAAATCAGAAATACGCAGAAAAAAGCTTATTTAAATAAAATAACTCTTCATGGACTGCTCCTGTGCTTTCTTCGTCGCATTCTTCTTCTTTTTTTCTTCTTTTTCTTCTCATCGACTCAACGAAGAGAAAGTCAAAACAACCGAACAAAATTGAAATAATATGTTGAAATCGTTGCTAATCACGTCGAACTGACGGCAAACATAGCTGCCGTTTGTTTGCTTCTCAACAAATTTAATATTAATGTACTTTATTCTTGCATGAGAAAAAAGAAAAAGAAAGAAAAGAAAAGGCGAAAATGTTTTAAATACGAATGGGATTGTCTGTTGTTTGAGTTGATTTATGGACATTTGAATTAGCTGAAGTATTACTTTGATCATCCATAGAAGTATTATAAGGGGGATTTGCATGAGAAACATGTTTCAATGTCCAACTTGCTTCATGATCATCATTACAATATACAAGACAGAAAACAATAACGCATAACGGAATAAGAATAAGTAAAACTAGTAAAACAATAGCAGCATAAGCTAAATCTAAGAAAAAAAATAATGATGACATTTTGTATTAAAATAATCTTTTTCTTTTTTAACGTACTCTTCTTATTCAGTATAATGTTCCAATAGTTTGTTTTACTAATTTCTTGATAATCATTTGTTACATTTGTTAAGTTTAAATCAAGTGTAATTGTTGACTCTGTTGAATCTGAAACTATTGCTATTTGTTTTTCATCGGATTTTGATTGAATAGTTGATGAAAGAAGAGCACTCTTCCTAAATGATAATGATAATAATACTTGAGCTAAATTAGGTATTACTTGAAAACAAGATGGTGCATCTATAGCCCTATTTCTTAGAGAGATAGGAGTATTTTCACTATCAAAATGACGATAACGAGTTGTACTGAAACCGTCCGGAACAACTAAACCATAATCATCACAATTACTTCCATATTCAACCAGAATAGGTAGATCAATATTGATATCTGTCACTAATAAATAACCTCGAAGAAGAAGAATTTTAACTTGTTTAGCAGGTCGCATTTGATCGTTACTTAAGGACATAGCAACTTGGCGACTGCCAGTTACAGCTATTGTTAAACGTTCCACGTAGGCTTCCATTTGAACATACGATGGTAATTCTAGTCGATCATCGGACAATATACTTTCTTCAATGGGACAAAATAGTCGCGTAAAACCTGTTGCAAAACATTTGTTTTGTCCAAAATGTGACATAAATGTACGACAGGCTGCGGCTTCAGAATCTAACACTTTCCAAACGAGACCAGACGATGAAATTTGAACATCATATAAAGTACAACGAGCTAAAAACAAAACGTTCAAATATGTAGATGCGTCCTATTCACAATAGTATCTATATCTGGATTTACTTGGTGGATGACGATGTTTTTCTATATCGAAATGATAAAGATACGGCAATTGATGGATCATAGTATGTTCAATATCGATCAATGGACTAATTAATTGTTGTCGGCTGATTTTTGATGATCCTTCTTTATCTTCAATATAATTAGGTATACGAAGACGTAGACTCGGTTGTACTTCTAGTTTTGGATCATATTCTGGTAATTGTAAATCGACATAGAGTGAAGGAACTTCATCTACTCGACGAGACGAATAATAACGTGAAAATAATGTAAAATTTAGATCATATGCTCCAGTTAATGATGTTGTTAAAATCACTACATTTTTTCTAAAAATAAATTTACATAGTTAGTTGCTTAAAAGTGTCTCTTGATTTTTATAGAAACAAAACGATGATATTTATTACCGTTGTGCTTGTGTTCGTCCTTCTAAAATGCGTTCGATATATTCTGGAAATAGGAATATTTCAGATGAATTCGTATGAAAGATCAGTAGACCAGGACAATCATTACAATAATTTTTTGTTTCAACTAATTTTCGATAAGTCGCATCAAAATCATTTATATAACATTCTGTACTTTCCGTAACTAGACCTGAACGAAGATCAGGCATGACGTGATATCGATGTGGACCTTTCCGATTAACTTGGCATTCGCCATCAGTAAACGGTAAACGACAACAACTGCTATGAACATATTGAGGAAGCGTAAAAGCTATGATAATGAATATAGAATACAACATTGGCACTGAATGAAACATGAAAAAAAAAGCAGATTTCAATGGTTTATTTCAGTGTTAAATACACATCGCTCATGGAATGATAATCACATACGTGATTTTATGTATATATATATATATAATGGTACGTGAGCACAGAACGATACATTTTTATCTTATAACTAAGTGAAAGTTGTAAATTGGTGTACATACATTATTGTATTCAAAATGTACTGTGAGTATATTTTATTTTGTTAGGTTGTTTATTTTTGAATGCTATCATAGAATGAACTTACTCGTGCCATGATACCATCAGTAGTAAGATAGTATTCGTAGTGTTACGAATGAAAAATTTTCAAATGCATTCTCAGATCAATTTCTGACATATTTTATGGCCTGAAACCACATTCAAGAGAATGTTAGAGTGCTATTGATGCTCAGTCTTTTGGCATAACTACAACAGATGCATATATGTATTTCACTTTGATCAGCGATATTTGGACAGACTTAACTAGATCGACCTTACTAATATGTATTATTTTCCTTCATTGTAGTAATACATTAAATCTTGGAAAATTCCAGACCCTAATGCCACATATATGAAATTAACATTCCACCTTTTTCTATGAAGAAGAAGTATGAAGAATGTATATTTGTTAATCTATCGCCCATTATTACAGACGCACTTTTGCAGGGTTATTAACTTAAAGTCAGCGCTGATTCGTAAGTGTGAAGTAGAAAATAATGCATTCTAATTTAACATATACGCTTATTCGATTGCAGTAATTTGACTAAACCAATTAGAAATGTCATGTATGCATAAAATTAACTTTATCTCTTCCTTTTACTCATCCTAAATGTCTAAATTTCTTATCTAAAGACTTTTGGTTTTGGTTTTATATTAAATATCATTTTGACATTTCAGATAAGTTCAAATTTTGAAACATTAAACACACAAAAATCGAAAATGTTATGGTTAGTTCTTTGCTCCAAACTTATTGCGTTCTATCGAAAGTTCTACATAGATGTCACTAATTTCAGTTCACTTGTGAATCACCTAATTTTGCGTTCTACTTGAAACTGGTGAGAAAAAAGTGAAAGTAATTTATTAGTGCAAATATTTTGAAGAATATGTAACATGTATTGATTTCACAAAAGAGCATTCGTGTTCTTTCCATTCAGTGTCGACTTGCTGATCGATTTTACGTGCATTCATCGATCATATGAAAAGCATAAATGAAAAAAGTCGGCATCGAAAAATTTCAGCATAAAGATACCAAACCAGTGTAACTTCCTCGAAGTATTAAAAAAATAAAAATAAGTACGCAGTGAACAAAAAAAACATGGCGACGAGGATGAGATTCGAACTCATGCGGGCAGAGCCCATTAGATTAGCAGTCTAACGCCTTAACCCCTCGGCCACCTCGTCTAGACGTATTTTAATTAATATTTGTTCAAATTAGCAATGTTGATTAATAGAATCGGCATGTACAAATTTCTTTCAAAGTCGATAAATATAATCGCGTAGTTATAAATCATCATCTTCTTGTGTGTTTCATTCACTTCAGTGAACTATTCAATTGAACGCTCTTGCCCCTACCAAGATGATTTCGCATCGTTTGATTCTATTTCTGTATCACGTGTGGATCAAAATGAATAGTAACGATATTCATAATATCAGTGTCACGTATTACTAGCATCAGATAATCGAAATAATGAAATAGTAATAAATTTTACAATTCATATCTATAGTAAAAATGAAATATCGTTTTATGTAAATCATTGAGATACCTATAGCTATAATAAATTTCCGGTGTTATTTATCACCTATGTCATGCAAACATTTAAACTACTTCACCATTACAAAAAAAACACCAGGTTATTGTCAATAGCACAACTTTGTTGTCTGAGTTGTTCTATAATTATTTAAAGAAAAAGGTACTTATGCTTATTGATACAGAGAAAACTAACGATTTTCTACAACTCAACGCTTTCCCTGTATAATTAGTTTGCAAAGATTTTAATAAAAGCAAATCATTACTGTTTGAGTAAGAGCATTGAAGAATATGATCATCATTTAGAGGACGATATTTATTTCATTAAATATATCATTGCTGGATTATACAATAGTAAAAAGAAACTGAAAAAATAGAGTTTCAAAAGAGCAAATATTGAGATATTCAACGTTCATCGCTAGTTTGTAAAATCATACGGTGATCATCTTTATCGAATCTTGTAGCATCTGAGCGATCATAATCTTCATCGCTGTCGTTTTGTTCAACACTATGACTGTTTGATTCTTTTAGATTTTCATTAGATTTAGAAGCTTCAATAATTTGTTGATTGCTTCCGTCCTTTGATCGATAATCTTCATCAGAATGTTCTTTATAAAATTTTGACTTTGGCTTTGTTTCATCGCTTTCTTCGCTACTGGCACTGCTTTCGTCAAATTTAAGCTCTAATTGTATATTGAAATCATCACTCTCTTTAGTTATCCAAGAACCAGGTCTTCTATGTAAAAGACCTAGAAAAAGAAAAAGAAAAACACAACGAAGAGCTAATAGAGACTTTTCATAACTGCAGAGAGTCTTACTTGCTCCATTTGAAATTAGTAGAAATGTTGAAAATAGACCAATTGCAAGAAAAATTCGTAATGGATACATTCTATTTTTGTTTTATTTTGATCAATATAAAGTAGAAAAATGATTCCTGTGAGTTCTTGATAAGAGTAATATATATATATATAGAGAGAGAGAAGATAAGAGAACAAAAATAAACTATGACATCACCTAGAAGTCAACAGCTACACTATTTTATAGCCAATCGGGCAGTGTGAATGTGTGAATGCGTGCGTCTTTATTACATCCTAGATTTGTAATTTTGTAGCAGATCTTCGTTATAGGTATTGTTATACTGAGAGTCATGCTTTTATACCTAATCATAGAGAAAATTTACTTAACAAATTGTAAACACATATGTCTACAATATAACGAAACAACTTCATGTTATATGAGACACAACAGGTTTTTCTTGAATAACGTCAGTTATATTTTAATAAAAAAAAGACCACAAAATAGTGTATAAGGACAACATTTTACATCCGAAAACAGAAGGATACTAATTTTCAAGTCTTATCATGAAAAAAAAACTACGAAGCTTAGCCATGAAATGGCTTGGTGTCCTTCTTTTTACATTCTTAATCTTATTAGTTCGTTCAATAATATAGAGTCTGCGTAGTTAAAAGGCCATTGAATACCTATGGAGGAAATGTTACTATTTAAATATTATCTATTATTGAAGTATCATATTACATCCAAAAACATTTATATACTTTTTATTTGAATTATAAATTACTGTCGATGGTTCGAGGAATGATTATGCATACAACAGTTAACGGTGAAGAATTCTATGAATATGAAGTTCGTCGAATATTTACATAGTTAACAACAAACATGCTTGAAACTTTTGTGTCAATTTATCTTTTTATATCAATAGTTCAAATCGCTTTGTTTCTCTCAAGTGGTTGATTTGCATGCATTGGATATAATTCAACACTAATGATATAAACATGTTGTGTTGTTAACTTAATTGATATGTTATTATTTACTGTGACATATTAACTAACATAGATACACTCTCATTTCTTTTTATTAAAAAGATGTCATGTATATTCGAAAAACAAGATAGGTGCATATAAAATGTTATATGTTATAATTTTTAATAAAAACTGAAGATGATGCCATTTTTCATCTTCGATATATAAAACGTAATTCAGTTGAACTAAAGGGATGTCGTCATTCCGAATCCGATCGGTACACCATGTATCGGCGGAAGACCACCGCCGAAACTACCACCAAAAGGTGAGGCTCCACCAAAGCCTCCATACGGTGAGGCTCCACCGAAACCACCAAATGGAGATGCTCCACCTAAACCACCAAATGGAGAGGCTCCACCAAAAGGTGAAGCTCCGCCGAAACCTCCACAAACTGAGGCTCCTCCAAATGGAGAGGCACCACCNCACCGAAACCACCAAATGGAGAGGCTCCACCGAAACCACCAAATGGTGAGGCTCCACCGAAACCACCAAATGGTGAGGCTCCACCGAAACCACCAAATGGAGAGGCTCCACCAAATCCTCCTCCATAAGATCCTAAGCCTCCACTGGGGGAGACTCCACCGAATCCTCCTGATGGAAAGCCACCACCATAGGATCCTAAACCTCCTGCAGGGAAACCACCACCATGAGATCTATAGCCACCATTAACAAATTGTTGATAAGCAGCACCGAATTCTTGCGACCAAGGAACGCAAATAATTAATTCTCGATGATGTCCTAATTTGTCAGCTCGTCTTCCACCGAGTGCAGCAGTCATTTTTGTAAGCATTATGTTCAATGTGTGAAATAGATGTACGTTTAATGTTTGGTATGTGATTTTTTTTTTATAGCGATGCACTTGTTGTTGCACAGCAATCTAAATGTGGCTATGTGGTTACGAGGAGAAATGATGTGTTTGATTGTATAGTTGTCTGCGAGAGAGCGATAGAAGTAAAGGGACGAGCAAGCATTCATCCGGAACACGTATCAGTACCGCTAATGGTGTGTGTTTATTTCAACCTTGAAAGAAGCCTAACCATAGGACAATTTTTTTCGATTTAATTTGGAGCAAGAATGAAAAACACGGTAGCATGAGAAGAGAACGAAAAACACTGAAGCATGAGAAGAGAAGAAAAAAATAAGGGTAGTTTATTTGTTCCTGTTGTCATCATAGATACCTTGTGGTAAATTAGCTGGTGTGTCGAGTCCTTTAAAAAGACGAGAGTATGAAAATGCAGTGGAAGATACCTGTCCACAGTTGCACTCAACGAAGACAACGAATGAAAAAAGAAAAAGAAAAAGGAAAAGAAAATAGTAATTTAATGAGACTAGGGTACGATTTTTTTTCTATATATTGTTGACCATGATACAGTTTGGAGTATCTAACTTAGTAGAATATAATGTCTAGTGAATGTTTAACCGATATTAACTTATTGCTGTATTTATTATATGAAAATAAATAAATCAACACTATGAGATACTTAAAAAACAAAAGTTTTTTCCTTCTCATGTAATTGAAAAAATAACTATCGTTTATTGATAATTACATTCTTTCATTTGACGAATAAGAAGAAGCATACTCCTACTACACTTGCATTGGATATCAAGGATAAAACAGCACAAAAAATTAATTTGTATGCACCATCAAAACAATAATATTTAACAATTACCGATATCATCACCGTAAAATATTCAAGAACGCTAGACAGACAAACTATTCATGCCCGCTTGGTCTATCAATTTTTCCACATATTATTTGTCTAAAGTATTTAGTTCGATTGAATACATACTGTGCTATTTCTTTTTGATCGTTCAACATCTAGTATTTGTATCTGAAAAAGATCATGATTTTAATAATAATACGAATCATGTACTACCGACTTCACTTTCCTATGAGTTATGAGTACATTAAGCAAATGTATTGATTTTTTTCTCATTCGTACTTGACTTTTCTTAAATAACAAAAAAAATGTCATTGGTAAATATTTATCAGAAGTAATTTATCGTCAAGCAACATATAATATATCATTTTCTATGATTTGAAACAAGACATGCGCTTAATTTTAGATTGTCAAAGAGCAACAACAAAATGTTGAATTTTAATAAGCTTGCAAATATCTTCACAAGTCTATAGAAACAGCGTCATTGATGTTTCTACTCGTAATAGTTAACCTACTTCTAGGAGTTTTCTTTCTTGAAGTAATTTTATTACAGCAAAACATGCATTTTACTTAGACACTAAACTGTGTTAGTCTCGGATAAGATATTTAACTCAAATAATCATAATATTTAAGAAATGTAACAAGAGCTTTATAATGAAAAAACAATTTGGATATTCAGGTATATCGAATATTGTCATTTCCGAAAGATACAAAAATTATTCATTATAAATTTGAAGGTAGTTTCCTAAAAACTTACCTCGTTGCTGCAGTTATTTTATAAATATTTTTTTCATAGTTCGCTGGAATATGTTTAATTAATTATATATATATATAATTTCGAAAAATCTCTTCACCAAGCTATGAATAGTTATCGATGAGGTCTACTGAATCTTGCGATTTCTTCATAATATTGGCTTTTGTTTGTTTCGAATGATGGTATGAGCTACTGAAATCGTATTGATAGTTTGATGTTTACTTGAGTTGTAAAAAGCTTTATGTAAATAGTGAATATATCTATCGGTCGTAAATATTCTGATACGATATAAACTATTTGATGACTAGAATACTTTATGTTTATAATTTATTCTAATATGAATTCATTTTGGTGGCGTATAAAAACATTTATTCTCAATTAAAATATTTTATTCATGTTTATTTTTCATTTGGATACTCCTAGACTGGTTTGGAATAAAGAAACTTTGCATAAGATTTAAGAATCAAACAAATATGTCTGTATCATTCTTACAAATTCATAGTAAAATAAATGATAGAAAACTGTATGACCACATTATACTGTTGTACCTGCATTTTCGTGTCGTAATTACATTTAATATAGCACGAATTCTTTTTTTTAATTAGAAACGTTCCTTAATTTTCTAATTTCATATCATCTCACTGAGTTCAACTGATTTTTACTTGTGATTTTGTGTCTTGTTAACAGAAACAGAACATGAATCAGATTGGTTTTAAAATTGAAGTACAGGTAACCAATGACAACTGTTTTCTTCGTGTTAATTAATTCATAATTGATATGAATCAAATTGAGTTGCTTGAAAAAATAACTACCCAAATAGCAATGCTCGATCAGTCATCAGAAGAAAAAGGAAGTAAATATTTTACCAACTATAATAACTCGTTTTCAATCTACTGATACTTTTAGAATATTTATCAATACATTATTGTAGGATACACTTAGTTAAATGATAGTACAATTGAACGTTTTATTGGCATTCATAATAGCTGATAAATGCTGCAAATAAAAATTTCTGAAAAAATATACCTTGTTTATTTGATTCTTTGTAAGAGTCATGCAAAAAAAGTAATTACAAGTTCTTTTTCAAGGAAGATAAATTCTTTGTTTGTTAGCAATGTTTTTACGGCAAATGGGGCAGTTCGATACAAGTGATGAACATGTTTCGCATGTGGTTACATGACCGCATGGGATAAATACCATGTCGGGTGGTTTATCCAGACAAACACTACATGTCGGATTTTTATTTGCCTCACTGATGCGTTTTCCATTTTCATAGGTTCTTTTGCTCATGGGCACTGTTGAAGAAACATTTGCTTTATCGATACAATTGGCACTGCGATGTTGTGGTGCTTGTGGATTTTTAGAAAGAACATGACAAAAGTGGCACATGACTGTCTATAATAATACGAACGTGTTCGTGTGATGTTGTCAAAATGTAATATGCTGAATGAATGGAGTTTTTCTTTCTTTTTCTTATCGTTTCTAGAGAAACAATCGAAGAACAGAAAAGAAGAAAAGCAGTGCGTTTACTGTGACTTCCTTATTGTTGTTGCAAGATTTTGCTTTTAAAATCTAATTGTATGAATATCTTTTAAATCATTAAAAAACTATTAAGCTACCATTGAAATTCTAATTAGCTCTTATCAAAAGCATGTTAATGTAGAATGTAGAATCCCTATTAACTTTCATGGCTAAGCTTTCGAGTTATTATTTATTTATGGGAGGCAGCGATACAAAAATAGTTGAAATAGTTAAAAGTTTTAATCATCCAATTAGAAATCAGCTTCTTTACGACAAAAAGTCTTCATATAAATAGGAAAATGAAAGCAAATTTTATTTTAAAAAACGAAGAAGTATACCAGTCGAATCGTTCGTTTTTACGACATATTTTGGTGTATGATTTTATCTGATTCACTATTTATTTTGACTCGTTTATTGCCTGTTATTATACCAGCATCATCCACAAATTATTGTATTAGTCTTTAGAAAACGTATATCTTCATTATATAATCGTAGCACAAATTTCTTGGACATATCGAATTTTTATAATTTTTTTCAAATAAAAACAACACCTAGTTCGAACAGTACAATGTTATATTCATTTAGCAGGAAATATGCTAATGATTCCCAAGCCTATAATATAGTTTGACAAAGAGAGACATTCTCTTTCATTGAAGTCTAGAGTAGTGCCCCCAATATTTCAAAAAGTAATCAAAAGAGAAAGATATTTGGTGCTTGACATAGGCGGCGGAACGATTTCTCTCTAGGGTAGGTCAAGTTTTCTAGATCAACGAGATAGCCAAGCGAATCACTAATCGACTTCCGCCAGGGTGGCCAGATCTTCTGAAAAATAAGGAAAATTTCTGAATTTTGAACATGTTTCTGATTTTTTTCTGATCTCTTGATTTTTTCTGAATTTGCTACATTTTCAGATCGCTGCTTTGTCACTGAAATTAGGTACGATTATAATCCATGACTATAATAGATCGATAGTGTTTCATCGTTCTTCTCTATTAATCAGCTTTTCTATTCCTCGTTCGGATTCTGACGCCGAATCGATATTCAGTCGTATACAGTATTTATAGGCAGGTTATCGTAATTCGATCATTGTAGAACCAAGATAATGCTTAACTTAAAATAAAAATGATTGACAATTATTCTTGAGAAGGTTTTTATTAGCATATGTTATGTTAAACAAACTTGTTAGAACGAATTAGAAAAGATACGAAATATGAATAATACCGAGATAATGACACAACACTTTTTTTCGTTGGATTTCTTAGTCTACGCACAATATATGTGATTATTCTTTTTGTTCGTTTTTGTGAACGAATTTTGACTTCAAAAAAAGGTTCAATGTTAAGTATTGTTTGCCGATGTTTTTGTATTAACTATACGATATATTTACTGTATCGTCTTTGTTTTTAGTGAAACATCTTTGAAGATAATGTTTAAGTCGATAAACAGAAACACAGCGGAACTTTCGATGCGACGCTCATATTTTAGCACATGACCCACTGATTTGCAAAATGTTGCCCTTTCTGATTAATTTTTGATTTTTCAGAAAGAACTGCTGCTCGATTTCTGATTTTGAAAACTAATCTTCTGATTTTGAAAAATAATCTTCTGATTTTTTCAATTTTTGATTTGACCACCCTGATTTCCGGTATTTTTTTTAATGTTGATTTCTTGGTAGATTTGAATTTTATATTAAAGTCCAATCGATACCTTATTAAATTCGAGTTGGTATTGGTGATAAAGAAAATATGAACTATGTTTGTAACAACCCGTCATCTGTTACTGTCACTGTCAGTCATACGTGAAAACTAAACAATAATGAAAGACTTAGATATAATTAAGCCTACCCAACCCTATCATTTTCTAAGCTAGGGCAGGCTCAAACCTCGTGAGCCTACCGGCTCCGCCGCCTTTAGTGCTTGTTACTACGAACAATTCATTGCAGAGCTTCCCAGAGTTAATACTACGACAAGGAATTTTTAATGTTTTTTCTTCAGTTTATAGAAATAAATTATATTGTTTCAATTCATCATAGAAATTCATTTTGAGTATTCCTTTTCATATAAATAGTATAATCTTATATTATTCTTAAATTCTAATTTTGTTGATCTTGGTAAAGAATGTGTTGGCAGCGGTCACCTAAAAGAATCAAGCATAAATATATATCGAACTCATCAAAGTAATTAGATAATATTGCAGTGACGTGCATGAGGGAAATTATTGGAAGTAATTAGCCTAAAAGTCTACAGTTACAGCGTTTTGAATTTCTAATCTTGGAGAAAAGAATTTTCTTCTTTGGACTTTGTTACATTAATCATGCCTACGCGACTTCAAAAGTACATCTTCCAATTTTTCAACTAGCAAATCCTGAAACGGTTAACACTTTGCACATTATTTTAATATGATTAATTAAGTTTGCTGGAATATTTTTATAGTATTCTCTTCAATGACAGTTGTAACTTACCTTGGAGTGTTTATTTTATTTAGCTTAGCGACAGGTGAAGTATGCTTAGTAAGGTCAGCGATAATACTTAATAATATGATTTGTTAATATAATTCACATGAAAAGACGTATACACAAATCTCTATGCATAGTCTAAATACATCAGCTCATCTGTTTCAACCAAAACGCAAGGTGCATTTTAAATTTCTATCATCATATCATTGGTAATCTATCTTATATACCATTACTAAATACTCAGTAAATTTAATAGAGTTCGTCTTAAATTATGTGAAATTTAATTATTATAGTTCTTAATTCGAAAAAATGATCTGGTATATCGAATATAAAATCTTTAGCAATACTTTTAAACTTCCGAGTGCTCTTCAGAATATTGTTTATGCAGAAAAACAAATCTATGATTAATATAAAAAGTGATATTGATATTATTGATAGCTTAAGAAGTTTTGTCTCTAGGTACGTTCAATGATGTGATGAATGCTGTCGATCGTTTGGTTTTGCATCAATACCGATGAAGAAAAAGTTATGATTTGCTAGAGCAAGTCATCCGTCACGAAACAAATGAGAAATTATTATAGACATTCACGGTCGCTATTAGTGTGTGCTTTTTCTTATCATATAAATGACGAATTGACAGCAAGAATATATATATATATATATATACTACGCTTTTGATTTTCTATTCATTTCAGTGAATCGTTCATGCAAAAAAATTCTCATTCTTTTTTTCTTCATTTAAAATGTTCATTTATTGTGTTCTTCGTCTAGAAAAAGCAACGATATATTGTATAGCATCTATATAATTTTCTATTCCAAGCCAAAATATAGTAACGAAAAGAAATATTATAATCATTGATAAATCTCTGTGAAATCCAGATTCCATTTTGATTGATTCAATTGTATAATCATGTGATACTTCAGTATTCGATTCATAATCAAAACCTCGAACATAGCTTTTTAATTTCTTGAAAAAGCTCATCTTTAGAATAAAATAATGCGCTTTGAAAAATAGTTTCATTTATTTTTTTTTCAAGAAAAAAACAAACTGGTACAATAAATGAAACGATTCATTTTGCAATTTCTAATTCATTTTATCGTTCATATTCATCCAAATTTTCATATTTAAGAATATTGGCTGGTCGTGTTGGCGGTTTAGATAGAATATCACCTTGTTCACGTACATGAAATTCCCAATTACGAATCGGTGAATGAACATTGTCAAATGGATAATCAAGTTCAACGATTTTGCCATCATGTTTCTTAGCACGAATGTGTGTTATTATTTTAACCCATCGACAATATGATTCCGGAAGATCAGGTTGAAAAATTTTGCGTGGAAAATATTTTTCTTCTCTAGCTGGTATGGTGACATGAACATCTTCATTAAATGTATCTTCTTCTGGACGCCCATCGTAATGTACATCACATTCAATAGGATGATCTGTACGATTAACAACAAAACATGAGTAAACATGGGGTGGTGCTCGAGGCATTTTAAATGGTACTTGTGGTGCATCACCATCGTTGTCATCAACGTTCGAATTTCCGTTGGTGTTCGTACGAGTGCTGGCTACACCATTTCCGTTCGTAGTATGACCATTTAATATACCATCCAACACTGGATCTGTTGTTAGAGATTTGGTTTCAGTATTATTATGAGTTTCGACTGGCATCGTAAGAACTAAACGTAAATTAAGCAATTTATAATTATGATTAGTTGAGAGAAACATGAGATGCTTACCGTAGCCTTTTTCTTGTGAGAAAGTAAAGAACGGTATAAATAATCATAGGCTTATATGAAGTCGACAGATACGGTATGCATTCATGCATTTCAATTTACCAAGAAAAAGTACGCCTTCGCAGAGTGACTTGATTGTCATTGGTATCCCATGCATGTCTCGGTTATTATTGTGCATTTACCGGTTGGTGGATGAATCGTAGACACTAGTGACAAGGAATAAAAATATTAAACACATCATAATCAATTGTTAAATGTAAATATTTGTTAAAAACAATCTGTTTTTTGACCTCGAACAATAATTGTTATTGTTATTGGTACTTTTTCCATCATAGATTATGCGACATAATTTTCATTTAAGACAGAAACTTAATTGAACAACATCACACATTCGTTTGTTTACATGTGCAGAAAACGGATCAATGATGCATGACAATGATATAATGTGAAAAAATTTGATCGTTCTTTATTATGTGATTTTGAGAGTATTTTACTCAAGTTCGTCTTGTGCAAAAAGCCTTGCTATATCTTTAAATAAATAAATAAATAAATTGTTAATATCAATGATAGATTAGAAGAAAAGCGAAACAGTGACAATAAGAAGACTAGTTAAATAAATGGCTTTGTTCGATAAAACAATAATTATTTGATATGATTGATTGATGTTAGGAAATTTAGGAGTCAATACAATATGCTGCAAAAAAAACATTGTATCTTTTATATCTGTCTGTATTTATTTCGATATTTATTATTGAAGGCAAACCTACATCAACGATATTCATATTTGTCGATTGTTTTTATCCACTTAACTATCACATATACAAATATATAAGCCGACGTTTAGTTTAATTGGTTTTTTTTTATAAGAAATACAAATAATGTCTCACACGAAGCACATGAATGGAGAAAATTTGAATGGTTTTGAAAATTCAAATACAACAATAAATCATCGAACACTTGTTGAACATGGTACCGGACGAATAGTAAATGGTACCAATTCTCAAAATGGTCCAACGTCAGCTATTTCAACTATAGAAACTCAAACGAAACAATATGAAGATGAAAAACATGAATTACAAGAATTAAATTACAAATTTGCTATGTATTTAGATCATGTTCGGGATTTAGAAAACTTCAATGGACAGTTATTAGTTGAACTGGAGAGTCTAAAAAGAAAATGGGGTAATGACGTAAATCAATTACACGTAATCTTAGGTCTACAGTTAGGATCAGTTCGTGATACACTTGATGACGGTGCACGCGATAACGGTCTTCAAGAACTTGAATTAAAACGTCATGAAGATTATATATTGATCATACGACAACGTATAGCGACATTTGAAAGTGATATTAAGAATCAATTAAATGAAGCTCAACAAAAACTGAATGTGTCATCGAATGTTTTAGAACAACTTAGAAGCCAATATGAACAAAATTCAAAAAATTTGGATCAACAACGTACAGTTGTAAATAATCTATCTAATGAATATGATACGCTAGAATCTGAATTGGTTGATCATAAATTAAAACGTATTATGGTTGGAAACGAATTACAAACATTGAGAGAACGTGCTGCATTTCAACATGCCATTCATAAAATACAAAGCAATTGCATATTAGCACTAGGTAATATTTGTTTTTCATATTTTCCATTTTTTTTCCATTAAATGTTTATTCAGACGCGCCGGCTATCGATCTATCAAACTTCTATCATACAGAATTAATTCGTGCTATAGGAGAAATTCGCCATGATTTTGAAGTTTTTGCAAAATCCCAAACTAGCGATCTAGAAGAATATTATCGCATAAAAACACAGAAAATCGAAGAAATAGCACGAGAAAATCAACGCAAACGTGCTTTAGCCAGTGAAAATGCTCCAGTGGGACAAGGCTTCGATTTACAACCATTAACTAGTTTAGAAAACGATCATAGTCAATTAAAATCAGAAAATGATAAACTAGAAGTCGAATTAAATCGTATGTCGGATGATTTAAGAAGAATTCAAGATGAGCGTAGGCGTGAAAATAACAAGCTTGACGAACAATCTAATCAACTGCGACAAGAGCTAGCTGACAAACAAGCAACTATTGATGGTGTTTTAGAAAATAATGTTTCACTTCGTTTCGAATTATCAACATACCGAGCCTTACTAAATTTCGAAACACAACGTGTAAATCGGGCCAATCAAGGAGACGAATTAAATCCCTCATCATCACGATTAGATGCTTTGTTGTCACGATTAGATCCAACATCATCACGACTAATTACTGCGTCATCACAATTAGATTCTTCATCATCAGTATCGTTACCACCACCATCATCATTCAATCAGAAACAAAGTAATTCTATTCGAAATACTGAAAACAATCCTTGGCAAAAGATGAAGATTCAATCAATAGCAACAGGTATTTATGAAGTAATATTTCATGTTTTATAGTATTTCACACAAGTTTTTTCTATGTAGACCCCATCGTAATTCACTCAGTAGATTTAATAAATGATTGTGTTATAATAATGCATAATGAATCAACTGTAAAACCGGAATCATTAAAAAATTGGACAATTCATCGTCTAAATGATCAACAAGCAGAGATCGTTTGTCAACTTCCTTGGTTGGATCTAAAACCTGGACAAAAACTTCGAGTTTTATCAAAAAGTAGTTCGCAATCAACAAAAACCTCCGATAGTGATGTATTATTTGTCGATAATATTGGAACGTGGGGACGCGGCCAGGTTATGAAAACAATTCTACTCAATAGTTATAATGAAGAAATGGGTAGTATAACACAAACTTGTATTTCAGCATAAATCGAACTCTATTCTATTAACTACATATATGAACTCTTTTAATTGAAATTAGCTATCGATTGTAGAGTCTATTTATTGCTTATTGTTCAAGCTCTTGACTAGTTTCACTTAGGAAGTATCAATTTAGATAGATACTATGAATGATTTTATTGTAATTCGTTTGGCATCCTCCTATCATATATATAGTTGCTGGCGACAATACGAAGTATAATACATTTATCACATGATCAAACAACTTTTTCCAATACATCCGTAAAAAGAAAGGTTGACATAAGTTACAATCATACATAAAAAAGGAAGCTTACGAAAAATTAAAAAAGCAAACGTGTTAGATTGCTGCCAAAATACAGTTTTATGAATCAAGGTTTGTTTTCATTGCTGAATTCGTTTAACAGAGACAACGATTGTCGTCAGTACAATCGATGACCATTGTTCAAAAAAAAAGTACAGATATTATTGCTTATCATGATCTTGTCAGTTTTGATGTGTTGAAGACTATCTCACAACAAGAAAATGACTAACAGAGCGCAAGATATATTGAAACATCAAATGACGAGTACGATGAAAGTTTTATTGCTTTGTTTGATCTGTACTAAGAAAAATAATGATTCAATTAGTTCGGTTTTTTTTCGCGTTTCATAAACAAATAATTCGATTTATAATGAAGTTCTAACTTCAGCAAGGTAATGCGAATTGTAGGTATGCTTATTAAAAAAACCATGGTATTTCATATAACGGTTGCTATTGATCTCAGACACCGTCGTATTGAATGATGTGTTAATTGGTGATTTTTGATGTTGGGGTATTCTTGATGGTTTATTCCCGATTCGTCCCAAATTGGTCCCATACTCGTCCCTGCCGGTTTTTAGCCACTCCCAGCTCGTCCTTGATTGTCTGTAAATTAATATAGTAATTATGTTATAGAGAAAGGACAATTTAGTATCAAAGAAAATAATATTACATTCAGCTATTACTCTATTTATTGTTCTATTTCTTGACCAGTTTTATTTTCCATTTTTCTTGTATATTAACGCTCTTCAAAGTTTAACACAGACTTTGAACGTTCTTTTACATGTGAACTTAAACATGATAGTTATTTGGTCTACTAGATAGATGAAAGAAATTTTCTTTGTGCTCGCTATTTTTCGAGTTTCTTTCGAATTGCAGGAGACCAACAAGATATAAGGTATCGTGATTAGTATACTTAGCATCCAATAGATGCTGCTAATCACGAAATTCAGAAAAATTAGATACCTATTAAGCATGAAACAGATTTGGAAAGGGATGAATCGAGTAACGACCATTCTTGGTTGTACTCGTGGCATCACACTCTTTAGTTTTTGACCATCCCAAGTGTCATCGCAAAAGTTAATTATAGTCATGGTTCATCGCCATCAATGATTTATTAGGCAAGGTTTTCTATCAAATTCCAGTTTTTGGAGTCGATGTTCAGGCAAGATTTCACTTAGCATCACTTTCGTTTTTAAAATCACGCTGACGTCAATCTGTCAACCTTAGATTTGTATGTCTATAGCTATATCTAGCAAATAAAGAAAACTCGTGAGATACGTGGATAACAATACTTCGGAGTATTAAAATTAGATTAGATATATTATGCACATCTATTGGTCCGATAGTAGGCGACTTTTTCAATAACCCAATAAGATCAGGATATATTACAATAACTTCTCAGCGAGTATCAAAACTTATGAAACATGTTTATCGGATATTTCTTAATAATTAAGCGCCCATACTTCTTAATTATCCTTCAAGAAAGTTTCTTCTATGATAACAACACCGTTTAGTATCATGTGAGCGCCATCTAGAGAAAATTTATCTCTAGTGGTTGATATCACTAGTCATAGATGAATCGGGTATTATCGTCAGTAATGAAATCTTTGTAAAATTTATATTAACTAATTTTTCTGTAGCTGAAGAGAACACGTTGAAACATTATACCAATAAGAGAAGTGTTCATATACTCAAAATTCTTCATCTATCGATCGTTGTAGCTAAATTTTCAGAAAATTTCTCCTTGTCTGAACATGTCTGTCTATTCAACGGACGTGAGTATAGGAATCTGTATTATTTCAATAATTTTCTTCTATTAGTATGATGTAGATAATCCATTTGATAATCCTCCATCAGATGAAGAGAGTGAAAGTGAATTAGTTGAATTACAAGCTGATGGTTTAGCCGATTATGTTCATCATTTGGACACTGAACAAAATGAACTAGTACAACAAGAAGAACAAGAAATAGTTCGATTATGGAAAGCACGAAACAACGTATTAACTCAATTAGAATATACGGCACCACAAAAATCATCACGTATTGATGATAATCGATCGATCTCTGAAGCCGAATGTCATTTTGATGAAACTGCATCAATTATATCACAACGGACAAATTATTCAGAAGTAAAATGAAAACTCAGAATAAAAAGTATCTCTATATTGTTTTATTTTGTTCTCAAGCCGATTCATAAATATTCATCGAAAGGTTCACCGTTTACTTTCTCTACACGCTTACGCAATAAACAATTAGATACAACGCCAACATCTCCATTTGTTAATCGAAATGTTAAAAATCGTAATGGTTGTTCCTCATCTATTGCATCTCATGATCCATATGATGATCAAAGTTCTGGAGTAGGTAGTTTAGTATTAAGTCCTGTACAAAGTCCCGTTGTAAGTATGACTTCTAGATTTCTTTTTTGTGAAAAATAATATAAAAATCGAACTTGTTCAAGATGTGGCGTTCGGAAAAAGTTCTCGGTCGAGGTCTCTGTTCATCAGCAATCGATTATAATCATATGAATATTAGCGAAACACGTCTAGTTAAACCCTATAATCGTACTCATACTTGTTCAGAAAGTGATGTTTTTAAAGATATTCATAAACCGACAGAGAATGGCTTTTTTGCAAATATTCGTGCACGCATGGGAGCAGACGCTGCTGCAATTAATTCAAATGATAGCCCAACAAGTTTTGATGATCAATATATTAATGTACCAATATTATTTAATACGAAAAAAAGTCATTTTGATTACGATGAAGTTTGTCTTGACTTAGCTATGTGGAGTTTGCTTTTTGAAAACTTTTATTTTTCTAGGAATTTAATTATCATCAAACATATATTTTACCAAAATTAATTCAAGAAGAAAAAGAACGACAGAAACAAGAAACAACAATTGATTTTTCATTTAAAATTGGTTTAGATGAACCCGCTAATAATGCAACTAATGATGGAAATGCTGTTGAGGATGAACCGTATCTCTCAATTATTGTTGATAATAATGTCAATGGATTAAAACGGGTTTGTGCAATTTTCGATCAACATCAACTTGTTTGTACGTTAAATTAAATTTTAATTTCGTTAAATAATATTCATCTTTTTTTTTCTACAGACGATCGAGAAAATATTTTACATGATCAATGGTACTATGGTCTTATATCATATACGTTTCTTCTTAAACAATCAGTTAAAATAGTCAATTCATCAGTAATGAAATTATTACAACAACAATTAAAGCATAGTGACACATTTTGGCTTTCAAATGGTTTAAAGAAGCGGCCAATATTTAATGATCCTTCATTTAATATTGGTATGATATGTTACTTCAACTGTTTGTCATAGCACGGGGAGGGGAGATTCTTAATTCAAGAATACTGCAATATATAGAGAAACGAAGAAGTTATATGGCGTCTTAATAGTGCTTTTATTGCCCTAATGATTTCAAAGTAGAATAATGGGTGCGTCAGATGCAATAGTTCTCTAATTGGTATCGTCGTAGCATAATCAAAATTGATCACTAACTCTTGATTTTCTTTTTTCTTTTATAACAATGCAATTCTTTACATAAAATGTTCATTGTATAAATTTCCAGCACTATCATAATAGACTCGAATCATCTCTATTGAATATTTAGTTTTGATCGGATGAAAATTTATAAATATCAGTCATACAGAATAGATACACAACTATGAAATGTAAAGTTGTCTACGATTTTGTCTATGCTTAGTCCGCGACTATATGTTGCTTTGAAAATATTATCTATCATTAATTCAAGCATGAAAATCATAATTATCATCACCGTTTTCGGCAGCAATTAGTTAAGAGATTTTTTTTGTAATTTTATTTAGAAGAAACACCATCACGTATCACAAACGGCGAAACAACAACAGGAGGACCTGCTGCTGAAACTGAATCATCTATGATTCCAGCAGCACGTCTAAGTAAATTTCGTCAACTAGCTCGATGCTTTTTTCATATTAATTGTCAGATGGAATGGTCATCAGGTGCATTAATAGCAATGAATCTATTTTCGCCCTATGAAAAACTATGTAAACAACCATATGAAAAATGGCACTTACGTTTTTGTGAAGATTTTGTTGACTTTGTTTATCAAACCAAAGAAAAATCAAATCCAAAATATGAATATATTAAACGATTGCAAGCAAATTTTATTGATAAAAGTGTTATTATAACAACAAATAGTGAAGGTTTTGTTCTATATATTCAAATGAAGGGAAATGTTGCTGAACTCATTAGTGAGTTTTATTTATCTACATATGTATACACTGAAGAAAGACTAGACGAGAAAATAATGAATTCAATTTTCTACATCTAGTTCTAATTTTAGCAGATGCTTTGTAGGGATAAGATTTGACAGTGACGATTAATATACGTAGTTTATCAACAACAATATTGTATTTCTGCTCAGGATACTTTCTGAATTCAACTTTGTCTCAAGATTTTTGCTATTAGGAAAGTTTTTCAAATTGAACTATTGAGTATTTCGTATCGTTATAATTATCGCTGATGGAAAAATTCTAACACAAAATATTCGGTCATCAAAAGAAAACTCCTTAGAATCACATTCAGAATTTTTGTGGTTTTTTTTCCATTGATGTGTTCTTTAAGTAAAAATGACATGCTGCCGTAAGTTAAATCTCGTATATGCACTTTTATGAAAGCGCGACTTTCTATGGAAATCAATGCTTCAAACAAACCCAAGTCTATGTGACTTCAAGTATCTCGAAAATGACTGAATATTTTGTGACATAACTTCTTCATTATGTGTTATCTAAGGATACCACACTTTCCAAACAGCCTGGCACTTGGAAGGCTATTTAGCCAAAATTAGCCTTGCTATTTACGTTTTTCGTAAAAAATGAAATTTCATTTTTTTTATAATAATACAAGTATTCTTATTTTAAAAAACAAAAATTTAGACGTTGAACCATGGTGGGTAGGACGAAAACTTCGTGAAGAAAATAAACCTGTAATGTCGCCACGACAAGCTATTCAACGTCAAGCCAACACCAATAAGCCACACCCACTTTGTTCGACGATTCGCATATCTATAAAAGTATCGCGCATGAAAGATAGCTCACAACGAAACAAAGATCCTCGATTTAGAAATCAAACAATTGAAGAATACGATTTTCGTATGGATTGTATTCTAATTAATAATATTCGTGTAGCATTTCGTGAATTTCTTGCTTTCTTCTATCGTCATCGGATACAAATATGTTTTGCCGGTTCAATAAGTGACTTGGCATTTCAGTTAATATCGCCACGTATTGAACGACCTATATTTAATTCATTTATAAAAAATTATTCGTGGCAAATGTTATTGTCCATTGGACATCGCTTTCAACAACAAGTTACACAAAAAATTGTCGATTATTTTAAGAATATTGAAATAGACGATGAATTTTATCAGGTAAATAACAGAATAAACGGACTACAGTTTTCTTATGAGCATTTTGTTGTTAGATAGCAATTTATATTTGGCGTCGAGCAAAAGAATATCATTTTCTTAATGCATATGATGAACTTATGAAATATTCTGCAAGTTCACAAGAAAATGGCCATGAGCGACGAGCAGCAACGTCGTCTGGTTCATCACTGATACATCCATCGAGAAATATGGCCTATGCGCCATCAGTAACCATAACACCAACATGTGTTTTAGTTAAACCATTGAAATTAGCTAAAACAAATCGAATTATACGTGAATCGAAATTTGGTGGCCCTTTCAATTTTTGTCTAGGTTAGTTTTATACATAGAGAAATGGTGTCAATTCAAAAAACACATATCACTGAAATAGTGTTTTTATAGATAGATGATTATTTTTCAACAGAATTCGTTGAATTCTATGGTATAAAAATTCTAAAATTTTCTTTTATTTATGTTTCAGTTGAAATACGAGAAGAAACTGGTGAAACACTACAAACAAATTATTTTAGTTCTCTGCGTTGGAAAATTGATAATTATTTATGTGATGGTTTTAAATTAACAAATGATCGAATTTATAAACATCTTCATCATTCTCAATCACAGTTGAAAGATAAACAATATTGGTTTTATTGGCATGATGCCAAAAATAAAACGAATATATCGTTTGACGATGCCTATGAGTGGATGGGTGATTTTACAAATGAACGTGTTGTTGCTAAACATTCAGCACGTATTGCTCAATGTTTTACAAGCTCCGAAGCAACAATACGAGTAAGTGATTGCTATTGAATTTCTTTATATAAAAACTAAAATTAATTCAGGTTCCAACGGAAAAAACAGAAATCATTGATGATATCGAACGAAATGGTTATATATTTACGGATGGTGTTGGAACATTTTCATCAAGACTTCGAGATGAAATTTGTGATTTAATGGGTATTCGACGTAAATTTAGTGTTATGCAAATTCGCTATGGAGGATGTAAAGGAACTGTATCTGTCAATCCTGATTTGGATTATACTGAAAAACAATTAATTTTAAGGAAATCTATGCATAAATTTATTTCAACACATGATATCCTTGAATTATGTAAAATATCAGCACCACGTATGTAATCATTAAATTTGAAAGAATTAGAGATTTGTTCTATTCATTGTTCAACAGAAGCAGAACAGCTTGATTTTTTTCTTTCTTGAGAATGAACGATCTCCAAATCCTCTTAAATGTTTGGCTACACATTCTATTAACTTCTATACTAATTAAAAATATGAAAATATATTTCACAATTTCCATCATCTAGGTCCTATTCATTTGAATCGTCAAGTCATAGCCTTACTTGAATCTCGTCACATTTCACATGCAACATTTATTCTTTTTCAAAATCAACATATATTATGGCTTGTTGAATCATTACTTTATTTACCATCAACGTTTGAACTACTCAATGAACGTCTTCCACAACATCTGAAATTGCGTAATCTTATACTTACTGCGCATATTGATCTAATTCATGAACCATTTTTTCGACAATTAATTACAACTATTTGTAAACACGAAATCAAACGTATTCAAGTAAGTTATTGCAAAGAAAAATTAGGCTCATTTTTTTGTTGTTGATACTCATGAAAAAGATAATTGGTGAATTTTCTCTCGTTAGGATAAAACACGTATACAAATGTCAAAAAATTCAGGTCGAAATATGTTCGGTATTGTCGACGAAACTGGTATACTTCAATATGGTCAAGTATTTTGTCAATATACGGAACTGCATACTGAAAACTTAGAAGACTTATCGAAAGGCTACAGTAACCGTGGTCGAGGAGAAGTTAAAATAGTTGTTGTTGGTAAAATCGTTGTTACGAAAAATCCATGTCATCATCCCGGTGATCTGAGAACATTTGAAGCTGTTGATGTACCAAAATTAAGACATCTTGTTGATTGTATAGTCTTTCCACAACAAGGTGAACGACCACATCCAAATGAAATATCAGGATCTGATTTAGATGGTAAGATTATAGTTACTTTTTTTCCGTAGCTGAATCGGTCGATTTTGTTCATGGTGTTGAGACAATATAAAATAGTTAAGGTTCGCATTCTTTTGCGATCATGAAATGCGATTTTGAAATTTTTACACTGTTCACTAGTCTGTCTTGTATAGGTTTGAAAAATTGATTATTAATGAGGTTTCTAATGATTTATGGAATCGTATTGGTTATGTTGATATAAATACAAAATAACTACTTGAATGGTTCAGCTAGAAATATGTTTTGAAAGTTTGTAATAGAAGTTTTCGATATGCAAGAATGCATTCATCATGCATTTTACATTTCGTAATCTAAGGTTTAGAGTAAGATATACGTTTGGTTACTATTTCGTATACGAAAAGTACTGTTAAATTTATAGTAGTCATCCCAAATGACGAAAATGTTCGTTGTTTAATAGAGATAATTATTTAAAACGTCTACAGTTTTCATTGATATATTTTCAGCAATTTATAATTTATATTTCTTCTAGGCGATGAATATGCTGTTTATTGGCATCCTGATTTAATACCAACAACAGAAAATTTTCCACCCTACGAATATGACTCACAAGAAAAGCCGAAGAAACTTGATCGACCAGTAACCCGCCAAGATATTCGTCAAATTGTTCTTGAAATATCCGAACAAGATGCCCTTGGTCGTCTATCTAATCTTCATTTAGCATTTACCGATAAATTTAATATTCGTCATCAAGATGCTTTGACATTAGCAGCTGCCATTGCTGAAGAAGTCGATGCAGCTAAAACAGGAAGACATCCATTAACCGACAATGAAATATCTGAATTGGCTCGTAAACTTCATAATGAACGAGCCGATTTCTTTAATCGTCCCAAACAATTTGATCTCTATGCATCATCGAATGCAATTGGTAAACAAACAAAGAAAAAAACAATGAAACAATTTTATTCTATATTTTGCTTTATTTTAAGGTATACTGTTTCGTTCAATACGTCGTTCGGAACCTGGTTGGCTTAAAATAAATCGTTGTTTACATACAAAAACAACTATTGGTCTTATTCAATCATCACATATTAGTGCGCATGTTCAAATCGATCCATTCTTAATTCATCCATTAGCGAATTCCTATCGTGAGCAAGCTGAAAAACTATTTAAACTTTACCACGATCAAATGAGTGATATCATGTATGTATATCATTTCCATTCGGAAGTTGATCTTATGTGTAAATTTGATTCTCAACAACAAACGATGTCAAAACAATTCGATATAGCAGATTCAGCACAACTTGAATTAACTCGTTTAATGAACCGTATAACAAATTTACTTGATGATTATCCATTAAAAACGTATCATCCATTAAAATGTTTTTGTGAACAATGTGATGATCATCGGATGGCACGTGCATCAGCGTGTTATATCGTTACCTATGAACAACCATATACGAAAAAAATTCTTTCATTTGCATGGTTATTCTCGTCGTGGTTAGTTAAGTTAAGACGTGCGAATTTAGAAAAGCAAAATATAACATCTTTACCATCGAATTATTCTCTTGTTGGTCAGGCATTGTATCGTTCATTTTTATTATTGATTGAAAATGAATCAATGCGTTTTGTTGTTGATTTTAATTCAAGACTAGATAAAGATTTATGTTTACTTCAACTTAATTTTGATCATCGAATGAAAAAATCGATTTATGCTTGCGTTCATCTAATGGAATGGGCTATGCTAGAAGTAACAACAGGATGGTTGGATAGACAAGATATATTTTCAACACGAAAACATGTATCAAAAACGGCTATGCGACCCGTTATACATGTTCGTCCATGGAAACATATTGCAACTCAATTTATATTTGCAAAATATAAACCAAAAACTTGTTCACGACTTTTTCTATTGCAAAATAAATTCATATCTAAACATCAATTAACAGTAACCAATGATAAAGGAACAACAGGTTTGAATAGGCTTTTTTTCTCTCTGGTCTTTTGTACGATAGGGCTTCAGAGGAGTGTTGAAGTATAAGAGAAAAATAATGGTAAAGGCATGTGTCTCTACGTTGATAGAATACAGCAATTTTCTTGTGACTACTAATTCTTGTGTTTATCTTACAGAAGTATTTTGCTAAAATGTTTAATGAGAAATTTTAAATTTTAGTGAATTTAACATTACCTAAATTTGCTTCTTCACCGTCTGCTTCATCGTTCCCACCGGTTTCCGATTGGTGGTCGGACGAAATGGCTTGCAAACTTTATAAATTATTCTTACGTTTAACAGCACAATGTTCTCGAACTCATGTCTTAAGTGATTCATCAGAACGAATGGATTTGGCTCATCTTAATGAATATTTAACACTTGGATTACTTTCTATTGCTGCCGAAAATGAATTTAGCAATGTGACATGGCAGTAAAAAGAAACTAATTTGTTCGAATGTAATTTAACGGTCATATTTTTGTTCATATTTATATCCGGCTCGATTTGTTTGATATATGAGTCTTTATTTGTATTGTGTCTACAGTTTATTTAGTTTTTATTGATTGTGTACCCTTTTCTTGGCCAGATTGCTCATAAAGTTTTGAAATAAACATGGATGAAATATAAGACGACAATATTATTTAGAGAAAGTTTTTTTTTCAGAGAACTGGAAAAAAAATTACGGTGAATAAAGGTTTCCCTAGAATAAAATAGACTCTGTTTTATTGTCATCTTTTTCTTAAACATGTTAAAGATTGCCGATGAAGTGGTTTGAGAACTAAACAGTTTTGAGATGCTTTATTTTTTCGATAGTAAAATTAGTCTCACTGTTAGCTTGACCATTAACCCTGCTTGAATTGCAATCAGAGATTGTTAGGATTATTCTCTGCATGTTGATTGTCATATTGACTATTTCATTGTGGAAATTTGCTCTACTCTATGGTTTAATTTAGGGTAGAATACTTTAGATACTGCCAGTTCTATTGTAATTTTGCATCGTACAGAAATACATGTAGAGAGTTGTCCTTAGTTTTTGATCTTCGGGAGTGTGGATTCATCGGAATTTTTCGAACATATTAGCACATCACAATGACAGTTTGACACTCATTATGAATTGCATAATCAATTCATAGAAGAACGCCATCTATTGCAGTAACTTTTAGTCGAATTTTTAATTGGATCTTATTGATATTCTATTCAATCAATGTGGTCAATCTATGTGTCAACCTTCATTCTTCCAAGATCACTTGGTTCTATCAGATCAAACGCGAAATGTCCTATCGATTATTTGTAAATAAATAAAACACGGTGAAATGCAATTGTCTCATAGGTTTCATTCACTTCTAGACGACGATACAAAGAATTTGTTTACAGGTCAGAAGCTTCTTTTTATGTTTATTTGCAATCTTTCTGTTTAAAATGAGTAAGATTTAAAACAAAATTTTACTTTTTTTATTCAAGATTAATTTTCATCCAGATGGCTTTCATAATTAATCGTTCATCACGATCATGCTTAACTGCTGTTTTGAACCATTCATCGAAGTTTTTATCATCAAATCATGTACGCTACACTTCATCTGAACATCGTCCAATGATGTTGATGGATTTGCCTCGTGTAGTTTATCCAAATTTATTTTATACAATAAGAAATTTATTTTCTCGACTTCTCATAACTGGATATTTTGATTCAACATTTGCTATGAAACCATTTTCTGAAGGTGCTCGACAAGCGTTAACTGTTGCTTCACGTCTGATTGCTAACAATCAGTTTGAAGAGCTCTCAGAATTTGCTACACAAAAGGTAGAATATGAAATTTAAATAAACAAATGTCGTTATGCAAATAATGAATTAGGCTATTGCTGAATTGAAAAAGAATTATCAATATTTAACATCTGAACAAAAACAAAAACTTCCGGTTGATGAATCTGAAATTGTTTTTTCGTATCCATATTTGATTGGTATGATTATGGATGAACAAACAAGTAGAACTTTTTTTTTTCGTTTAAATTTGAACTTTGTTTTTTTTAACTAACTGTTATAGATAGTCGTTTAGTTGAAATAACAATGATTTTTCATGTTCTGAAAGATCGAAAGTCATATCAAGTTGGAGTACTTAATGCCACAGCTGATGCCGCTGCAAATTGGGCAGCTTCGGTGAAGAAAATGCGTGATAATATTGTTGTTTGTAATTATAAATTCTTACGTGATATGAGCAAAAATGCGAAAGATGATAGTTGGATTATTAGTGGACTTAATCATTGGTTACCAAGTGAATATGAAAAATAACAATGACATTCGTAGCTCTTTTTTGTACTATGCACAGAATTTTCTTGTACTTATTCGGCTTGATGTGAAGTTTTATTTTGTTTAATAAGAAGTCCGAAAAGAAAAACTGAAATTAGATTAAAAAAATCTTGTGCTTCTAGATTATTGTTTGGTTAGAACGAAAAAAGTTTAATCATAAATTAAAGCTTGAATAGATAATTTTTTCTAAGTAAGTATTTAGTGGTTGCGATTTTTTTAATGACTTTCTTATTATTAATAAAGTTTTGAAATTCTTCTTTGTACAAGTCAAATGAAAGAAAAAGCTTCATGGTGATGGAAAAAAGTCAGGGAAAGAATAATCATGTATGAAATATGAGAAAAACATACAAGAAATAGTCGAAATGAAATCAGTTAACACATCTCTATATTCAAAGAGTATTAGAAAATCGTATGATTAGGCTAAAGCTATATCTACTCTACTTGAATAACTGTTTTTTGTATGCAGAAAAAATAAAAGAAGATCTTAATTTATTGAGATACTACAGAATGAAAGTCTTTTTTTTTATATTATTTTACATAGGGAATTCAAAAGAGATTAAGATATTTTCGGACGTTGATAATTTTCTTGTACTGTTTTTCATATGATTCAACTATAGAAATGAAGTAGGTTTCTTAGCGAAGACTTCGAACATTTAATTTTTCTGTAACTAGTGTTTAGATCGCTACTAAAGATCGGTACAGATAAATTCTTCTACTCGTTTAAACAAATGAACTAAAATTGAAGTTATGACCTTTTGATATTGCGTAATTATAATTACCATTTATTCTCATTGTTCTACGTTTCAACCACATCTATGTTTATAACATCTTGTTGTAAAGAAAATGGGCAATGATATGAAAGGAGAAATATGGTAATTACTAACAACTTTAGCAGTTCGATAATGTCACTAAGAACGGCAAAATAAACGTCGCTTGGGATCGACGTTATTGGGCGAGCTTAATAATAGAACAACGTCTGTAGAGTTATATTTCTTTTTTTTTTGGGATATGAATTCATGATTTCTTTCTCTTTTGATTGTAGATAAAATGCTATTCGAGGAGCTTCCATCAGAATTATTACTTGAAATATTTTCGTATTTTCATCCATCTGACTTATATGGTCTATTTCTTCCCTTATCTAATACGCGTTTGTCATATTTAATAGCTCATACTCAATTATCTCTGGATCTAACATACACATCGTATTCGCGATTTTCACTCATTTTAAACCATTGTTCTCCATCTCAAATTATTTTTCTTCGTTTATCAAATCAATACTCGCATGGTTTATTGATTACTGAATTTTTTTCATTGGATGGTTTTCGTCCTGAAAAATTTGTTCGGTTACGCTCATTACACTTGGATGATATTATCGGCAATGAAATTAATAATCTACCACCTTATCTTGAAAAACTTTACATTAAATTTCATAAAAAAGCAAAATATGCTGTGAAATTGTATCAACTAGCACTTCAATCAAAAACATTAAAACAATGTTATCTCATTGGTGGTTATGCTTTTGATTATAAAACATGTTCTGATGTATCATCAACAACGATTGAACATCTTCATATGGCTATTAAAAGTTTTCCAAATGATTTATTAGTTTTAATTCAAGCTTTACCATCTCTGACTAAACTTAAAAGTAAGAAGATTGAAATTAATATTATTAAAAAAGGAAAATATGTACTAGCATACACGAGAACTATAGTTCTATGTGTTCAACGCACTTTATTAGAAATGATCGGAAATGTTTAGGAATGATGACAAATCATGAAGCAGCATTAGAAACCAAGACTATGGTTTTTTGTCTTATCTATCAATGTTTTCATAAGTTCTGATAGTTCCCACTCATATAAATGTACCGCTAACTTTTCGATCGAACAATGTTCTAGAGAAACTTGACCGGTGAGAATTTTTCGTAATATAAACGTAGCTAAGAAATGCAATGAATTAGTAATTTTTCTCAAGTATTTTCATATTCGTATTTCTCACGATTAACTTGTCGATTAAAATTAATTTTTATGTTTTATTTTCAGCTTGTATCTATAATCGGTCATCAGGCATCAGAATCTCTTCGTCCTTTACATTTCCATTGACTCATTTGAACATCGATCTACAAGCAAGTGGTGTCAATTTAAATCTGCTTAATTCAGAATTACTTTCTCATCTACCTCAATTAAGATCATTGAATTATCATTCGAATGGAAAATCGAATGAACATGTGACCGATTTAATACGACTGTCCAGTAGACTTAAACGTTTTCAATTTATTCGTAAAGGTTTATCGCCAAATATTCATATCGCAGATATTGGATTCAACAGCGATCTTGTTACTGCTGTACAAGAAACAACAAATAATAATAATAATAATTCACGCCGATCATTAACTTTACATACGACACCCTATCCTGATAGAATACTTAATTTACCGTTTGTTTACTGGAGTAAAGTCCAAAATTTGAGCGATAATAATCAGCATACACCTAATGAAGGTAATTATTAGTGCAGGAAGTTTTTTTTTATACCCGATTAACTATTGAGATGTTTCCTTCATATGAAGACTAATCATCTATCTAGAGTAGAAATGTTTTAATTATTGTTTTTAAAAAACAAAATATCTTATCCATTAAGAATTAACAAAGTTCAGTTTTCTAGTCTTTTTTTGCTTGATTAAAATGAACCATAATTGGCATAAACATTTAAAAATTATCTATTTTAGAAATATATGACCGTGTTGAACGTGTTCGAATAAATCTATCGGAATCATCTATTGATTCAAATATTTCTTCTTGCCGTTATGCAAATCATTTAACATTAGTTTCAAATAATGAAACTAATCAATGTGTTCTATCTCCTGAGATTATATCCTCTCTTGTATGTCTCTCATCAGTTCGTCATTTAATAATTAATACTCAAACATCACTATTCAATTTTAATCAGCTATTTGCTCTGATGTCACTTCATTCACTTGACATAGCTTGGTCTCAAATTCGTCGGGAGTTTTCATTATCAAATATAAAAATTCTTTCTCTTATAAGTGAATGTGTATCGTGGAAAGAAATTCAATATTTAATTATTTATTTAATACCCCAATTGGAACATCTTCAAATGAACGTAACAACAAGTGATGAATGTCAACAAATACTTAATTTTTTATTATCACCTCACTATCAGAATAAATTAATATCGATTAAAATTTGTATATGTCATACATTGTCAGATCAAATAAAGCAAGATCTTGAACCAATACTTCTATCATCGAAATGGATCAAAGTTAAATGGAAAATGGATAATTGGTATTTATATATTTGGAAATAAAAATTTTAAAAAATAAAAAATGTTTGTTTTTATTGTATAAATAATTTGCTAATTTTAATAGCACGAAATATTTGTTATCCTGTTGAAGGAAAATTATGAAAATAAAAACTTTATTGCAAATGCTTTGTCGTAGATGAAACATAAATTTGCCTTTCTTTCTTTTTTTGTTTTGAGAAAACAAAGCGAATAGATCAATGTATAGACTGAAAATATGTGCTCCTTTGAGTCATCATTTTCTTTAAGTATAAATAAAATATAGTGAATACATGAAGTACTAGTAGACATGTCACGCATGTATCGCATTAAATTCTTTCGGTGGAATTGACTACAAACACACAATTTGCATTAGCTACAGTTAATAAATCAGTCTCAATAAAATGTTTCGTGTCTTTTCATAAACCAATCCGTCAAATATCGTAAAAAGTCGACATATATGCACCCATGATACATTCCTAATCAATAGTGCTTTATTTTCCCGTAGCCGTCATAAAGCAATGGAATCCGGAAGAAAATATCCTCAGCTAGCACTCATCATGTCAGAAGTAGTTGTCACAACATTTAATACATGTCCATAATAATGCCTCTTATCATCTTGCACAAAAAATTAATAATCTTGCACTTATTTTGACTTACCACGTGTTACGAGCTTTAGCATATTCAAATTTTCTCTCTAATACATCTACTTGAGTTGGAATTATGTGAACCTTCATCATTAAATTCAGCACTGTAATCAATATAAGAGGTTTTCTTTGTAAGGAAAGATAGTTTCAAACGAGTAGGCAACGCACGATTTAGTAGGACCATTGTTGGGCCAAGCAGTAGTGTGAAGATAAAACTTTCATGCGTCATATGGCACGAAGTTTTAGATATTTGTATGATCGAATCCTTGACTGCATAATTTCGATTTTCAAAAATCATTGAGGATCATTGAGCTAATTAATATCCTACACTTATTGCATATTAGATTGTTGATGCAAACATCTTAAACCAATGACGTCATTTTAAGTGCAAATGAAAGTTCAAAAATATACATGAAAATCATTCCTCATCTATTACAAAGATCTACTTCTATAGAGAATTTAGAATTTTCGGTAGTATATTTCGTACTACTATATTTTAAATTCATTTATTGAAACAATCTCTTTGAACATCCGTGTTAAACCTAGATGCGATCATGTTTTATTTTTACATGACTGCAAATCTACTCGACATTATAGAAATATTTAGGGTGCATTGCGCTGAATTCTCTTCAAAGTAAATTGATAATCACATAATTGAGTACTAGGTTGTGTACGCACGTTTTTACTTTCCTTTTTCTGCTAAGTCTTCGATTCACACAAACATATGTAACTAAAAATATATATTGTAATCGAATAATTAAGAAGTTCTTTCTTCATGTCTAATCCATTCTTATCCAAAAACAAAATCAGGATAGAAAGTTGAGTCAATTTTCTTATTATAATCAGAAGCATTTTGGTTTAATGGTGTACTTGTAAGTTGGCCGATTAAAAACTGAACTATTTTAGGCGAGAAACATTTTCATAATTCGATATGGTATGATTACTGTTGAGTTTTCATTTTATATAGTTTTTCTAAATTCATTTCTACGGAGAAAAAAAACCTATGGAATTTCGGTTCATCATTCATATAGTTTAAGTACAAAAATATATTTGACAGTTAAGGAAACAAGTAATTATTATGTAACAATAGGAGAAGATTTATTGCTTCATAAATTAATTATAATATGATTGTGACCGATTATCTCTTTTCAATAATCTATTAAACGTTCTTCGAAAATGTTTATTTGATAATGCATATAAAAACGGATTGATTGTTGAATTAACATAGCCAAGCCAAATTGCAGTTGTAACAGCTCGTTCAGATACGCACGAACCGCAAAAAGCAACAACCATATATAAAATAAAATATGGTAAAAAACAGCATGTAAAGCCGAATACAATAGCAAATAATTGTCGAAAGGCTTTTTCTTGTTGATTCCATACTGTTGATTGTTTAATACTACTTGCTGCTCGATAGTGATGAAATTGAGCTGTTGAACCTCGAGTTATATGTGATGGCGTAATTGTAATTGATGGTCTTTCCAAAGGTGATATCGTTAGTTGTGACTGTTGATTTTGCTTCAATGAGGATCGAAGAATAGGCGATGTGGATGCAGTTGGAGTTTGTCGTGATTCGCTGTTTGCATTCGGATGGTTATTTGCAAATGGATTGGAATGTATGGTGATTGTTGCTGCAGGTCCGGAGCAATAATGACATAAATTAAAAACATTCATTGTAGTTGATGGTGCTGATGTTTTCATTGAATCCATTAGTGAGTCATGATGACTCGATGATGTTTGTGGATAGCACTGATGATTATAAAATGCTGATGTTTTCGTTGTATCTTGCTTTAGTTTTTGCTTAGTTGAATCCATTCGATTAATACTATAATCTATATTATTTTTGAAAGAATATTCCTTAATTTGAAGATGATGAGAACGATTATGATTATATTTATAATTCGCTAGAGCAGTTGGTGATAGTGGAGTAAATGATGCATGAGAATGTTCCCGACGTTGTGCAAACCATGTCAGTTCATCCTAAAAAAATCACAACAGAAAGTGTTAGTATAAATGAGTCAATTTAGTTTTTGTAATTTTTGCATTTCATTACTTGTGCGCAATGATTTTTGTCAATATATGAATGGGTACGTTTTAATGACGATTTAGATTGATCGCTTAATCGAGCCGGTGCACTAGGCCGATTTTTTTTCTCTTTAAAATTAATTCTTAAAGCAGGCTCATAAGCATGCGATGGAGATCGAGGTGACGCATTTGACATAATGAAAGTATCATTATCCGCATAATTAGTCGTCGAAGAAAATGCTTGTCGATCACTATCACATAATGTTACAGTTACTGGCGAACATGAATTGTATCTTCTATACTTTAATTCATGGCTATATAAATTATTATGATTTATTATTGAACCATTTATTTTGGTCGAATGTCTTTGCAGAAGAACATTTTTATAACGACGTTTTATTTCATAGTAAATACGGCCATTCAATAATATTAATACAAGAAGTGGTAAATAAAAATTAATCATAGCTGTAGAAACTTTAAATACTTTCGAATGTGTATATTCAGGTTCACATTTATCGGGCTAGACAAAGATTAGATTTTCTATTTAAAGATTAAAAAAGAATCAATTAATTGAAACCATACTTCAATATAGCGTTCGCTGCTGTTAAAACGATGCCAACTAAAAATAGGTATAACCCATAGAAGAGATAAACCCCAAGCAAGACCTATTAAAAGTAAAGCTCTAGTACGCGTTCGTTTGCCAAGATATTGAAGTGGAGATGTTATTGACCAATAACGATCTAAACTTAATGTTAACAAATTAAATATCGATGCTGTTGATGCTGTGAAATCCACTGATATCCAAATTTTACATAAGACAATACCTAAAGATAAAGTCATAGAAAATTATTTTTCATGACTTACATATTTAGTTAATGAAATTTCGCTTTAAAGAATAAAATAATTGAATAACTGAAATTGACTTCAATAGCGAATACGCCTATAATTAATTTAATGTTCCGGCTTTCAACATTCATTCAATATATTTTTCTGCTATTTATAAACTTTTTCACGAGGAAAGACTTTGCAATAACGTGTAAATCGTTTCATTCGTAGTTATTATGTGCTTGAAGAGAAACAATAAAATTTTTCTTTTTATCTCAGAAACTTCTTTGTTCTATAATTTATATGTTCAAAGAAACGTAAAAGCTTTCATTGCAAGCCATTAAGAAAGCACAGTCCTATTACTTTTCACGCATTCTATTTTAATTTTGTTAATGTTTTATGCTAAATTCATCGATAAATTAGTATATGTTCTACTTTTTAAGTGTCCCATATTAATTCTTATTTTCTAAATCGAAGAAATAGCTCATAAATTTTAATCATGAGTACAAAGCTAAAAGAGAACAAAGATATTTACCCATCTGCCATTTTTCCGTGATAGCATATATACCGGCAATAGGCATGACAAAACAGCCAACAATAAGATCAGCCGTAGCTAGACTCAATATAAATAGATTTCCAACCTAAACAATAAAATATAAATAGACTTAAATAAAATAAACAAAATACAAGAAAAAAACATATTAATTATATTTTATTATTCATTATGCATACTTGCGTACAGCTATTGGAATACTTAGAATCATAAAAGAAAAATATTTCATTACGATAGTGTCATAAAATAATTGTAAACCTTCTTGTTCCTGTCACGATGTTCAGTCAATCATCTTCTAATATATCGTGACACTTTTTTCTCTCTACATTTGTCTACTGTAACACTTTCAGTATATTCTGGTTCTGTCTGTCTTCTAGTATCTATGATTTTGTTTTTGTTGAATATGAAATACAACCAGTTTGATACGGATACGTAAAAGCATGATTTCATAGTACATCAAAATTATTCTACTGAATAAAATCACATCAATTTAATCTTGTTATAATGTGGCCTTGCTATAGATCAATCTCATCAAATGAACTCTTATCTTTATCTATGCTGAAATTGAAAAATAGACATATAGACGTTATTATAATCATACATGATTTCATTAGAAATCATATTAAAAAATTTTATCATACGAAACTTTTCTAGTACTCACAGTTTTTATACGACGAAAAGTGATGAGCACGAGTAAATTACCCGTAATTGTTAAAAAACAAAGAAAAGCACAAACAAAACCAAATATAATTGTATATGTTAAAGAAGTTGGTTTGAAGTCATGCATTAAATAATTTGTATTATTGGATCGATTTTTATTTGCTATACTATCCACATTAATCTCTGGCATATTCCCAATACTAAGTGAAAGAGCATCCGTATAACTGAAAGAGTATGTACTGTGTTGTTGTTGTTGTTGTTGTTGTTGTTGACTTTCTGCACCCAGACGAAACTCGTCGATACCACTCATGAATAGAGAAAAAGGACAAGTGGCAGATGATATAATTTAAGCTATCTAATTTTATTTTGTTCATTGAATGAAAGTTGCGACAAGCTAATGACAAAACTCTCTTTGTATCATTGTCGATAGTGACATCGGAAGAATGAAAAGAAGAAAGAGAGAGAGAGAGAGAGAGACATACAGACAGACAGACACAGAGGGAACGGCAAAGGAGCTAGAAAAAAACACTTGTCTTCCTTATTGAATGAGAAAATGGCGAGAGCGACAAACTAATGGGAATTATACTAAAAACCACGAAAATAAAAACAACGAAAAACATAAGAACTTATGAGTAAAATTATCACGACCTTACGTATCACTAAGTTTTAGAATAGTTTTTAATGTGTACGCTATCTATTTAAGAATTCGGTAAGCATAGTCTCAAGTGTTGATGCCTCTAGTGTTTTGAAATAAAAAAAAAGGAAAATGAGTCTTGTAAATGTCAAAAAATCTGCTTTTGGCACTTATTAGACATAACAGAAGATTATTTTCGAACGCTTTTGACTGAACCAAATTGAAAGTAAGTTTTTTAAACGAGGTACTATTTTTTTCAGTGTGTCCTTTAAAATTCACCGATTATCTAAATATATTCAAGGATCGCCAGTTTTTATTTTTATTTTTATTTAGAAGACAAATCTTTATCTCAATTGTTTCTTTTTTTTCCTTCTTGTTCAAAGTTGTTACTAATATGTTATCGGATTTTTTGATAAATTTTTATTGAAAGATATAAGAAAAAAATGCTTTTCATTCGAGATATTGACTCTGCAGGTGGATAATTACATTTATTATTTCTATTCGTAGGTTGATTTAAAAAGAAATAGACAGTCATTATAAAAGTTCAAAGAAAAATAAGGCCTACTGGGAAAAAACTGAGGCAAAAATAATGCATTACTGACGATGAAATAGTTAAATAATAACTTGAAACGCCAATTTACTAATAGTATATTTCTTGTAGCTCCGATATGCAAAAAAGTACATTAAAATCTGCGTAAATGACTTCTTCTGCGGTTTTCGTTTTTGCTGGATTTGATTATCAAGTATATTTTATAGAGGACGTTCTCAGCATTTCATCATTTATTACTGTCGAACAGGATACACAGATGATTAACTATAACTATGGTTATAGGGTGAAAATGTCCGTTTGCGTTTCGCTTCTTTTTCTTAATATGATTTTTGGTAAAGCTTATTTGATCAAATTTATTCATAAATTTATGCATCATAGCATCAAGTATGTAGTTTTCATAGAAAATACTTAGAAGATTGCGTCTAAAACTTATTCTGAAGCTCTCAAATATAGCTAAATATATGAGAGAAATGAGACTTTCGAATAGCGTAACACAAATAGAAATAATGGTTGATTTATGCAATTAGCTGATTTTTTAGTATTAGAAAATCGACGATTAAACATTTGATTCGTCAATATAGTTAGGCTGGTGTATAGTTTAGTCTATTAAAAAGATATTTTGTCTCCGACGACTATGATGCTGACTCGATTAAGGAAAAACGAATACCACTTTTGTCTAATTAACATACTATTGATTTGTTATGAATGCAGGAAAAGTACTCCTATTGCTTTCTATTAAAATTTGTCATAAAAAAAAACATGTTTCTCGAATATTATTGATAATTTCATAACAGAATTATATATGCTAAGTGCATACATCGTCTTAGATTATTATCAGAAGAGACAGAAGCAAATGACTTCATGTCCAAGGATTTTTAGTGTGTTTCTTTTGTCAGATTATATTGTTTTACTGAAGAGTTTGAGATAATATTATAGACTTAAACTATCTAATTATTGTTCTCTAGAAATACGAATTGAAGAGAACGATTTATAGTTTTTCAAACAATGATAGGATCATAGCAAATTATGTTTCATGATAGCTTATAAAAATAGATTCATGATATTAATAATGTCATACTGTGCGATCATTCTAATAAATCAATAACTCTTATTGGATAATCGTAAATAAAATTTTAAAAAGGTTGAATAAATGTGACTCTAGTATTTAATTTAAATCTTCTCTAAAAAATCACAATTAAATTTATAATTAGTCATTTTTCAAATATTTAAATAGCGAAAAGATAGAGCATTCCTATTTGGTACCATTATTAGATTATTAAATTATATGTTCTTTACTAACTTTTTATGAAAATTAAAATTATTCATTAAAGGATTTTCTTCGCTAGAAAAGTCATATTATATTTTTTCTTCTAATGGCGTAAGAACTATTCATGGCTGAGTTATCACTTAAGGTTTTATCGCTTTTCTCATTTTTAAAAGTCTGTACGTTTTTATGTATTCAGCTTTCTTAAAAGCCAAATGCACATCGGTGAGCCGATTGGCAAGCTAATACAGACTATTGGTAATAAATAAAACAAAAGAATAAAGCCTAATTTTTTTTACAACGAAATATGTCGTGCAAAGTTTTCATGACATGTCATTGTGCTTTGAAGATAACAGTTCAGTCAAAAGTTGACAAGACTCATCTTCTTTGTTGAACATGATCACATACAATAAATTTAATAATATGACTTATTCTTATTTCATCATTTCGCATGGAGAATTCTGGAGAAAAACCGATCATATTACCGTTCTTAGATGACGATTGGTTCTTAAAGCATAGATAACCACTGTATTTCCAACAACGGTAAGAGAAAACAGACTAAACATGAACACTGCCAGAAGTATGATTCGAATCGAAGATGAAACATCATTAAACTCCTTCAGTAATGTTATATTAGCGTGTATATCGATTGCAGTCATGCCATTGGAAAAATATCTGAAATATATTTGAAAAAAGCAAAATTAAGTATTTTAATTAATCCTTGAGCGTGTAGCACTTGGACATTGCTAAAGGTGAACAAAGATTTTGAAGTGAATTTAGTAAATATTATTGCATAGTTGTGCGAGTGAAGCACTTATTCAAATCAAGTGATATTGTGTCAAAAGGATTTTATTTTGCTTATAAGCAGAATCTATTGTTCTAAATGATAGTTTTATCTTGATCTAGTTTGTTCGATAAAATTGTCTTCGTGTTCACTTTCAACTTACGGAAATCATCGTAGGAAATGATAATACAATTTGAACAGTTTTCTCTGATCATTTTTTCTTAAACCTATTGATTACGTTATTTAAAAAAGAAAATTTAACTAAAAATTTAGAAAAAATTTGCTATTTTTTTATAAATGCAATTTTTATCGGATCTATGATAGTTTGATCTTGTTTTATAGTATTGCTAAGAGTAGATCATCGAAAACAATAAAGTCAAAAGGGTCATAAATGTGTCATTTATTCTATCAAAATGTCTCGTGATAAAAGATGAATTTTTTATGAGCGTATCCAAAAAGTTGGGTAAACTAAAATAGTTTTATCACTTTCAACTTTGGATCAATACTTGTCATATGATACACTTTCAAGTCAGAATAGTTTTGATTCTCCGTTCATTTTTTTCTCCCCTTGGAATTTACCCTAGGTTTTGTAGGAAAATAAAATCTAAGGTAACACACAATGATGCTTAATGTTAGATTTTGTTTGTAAAAAAAATAACATAAAAGAATAGTTGACCGACATATAAAATCTCAATTTAAAAATCAATTGATATTGAACTCTCAATTCGATACAAAAGAAATAAATGTTAGAAGCGTCCTTTGGCTAAATTTTTTCTGTATTGTCATATTACTCTTGACGTGAAAAGGAAACAGCCAATGAGACTTATAAGTTAAACTTATGAAGAAAAAAAATATTTGAACGATTATTGTTATTAAAATAATATCTTAGCTATTCTGAACATACTTCTCTTCAGTAATATCATTTTTCAAAGTGCAATACGTCGTCGTCCAAGTACTAGTAGCAATAGTATAGGCATGAAACGTACTTCAAATGCATTAGTGCCATAGAGAAGAGTTGTCTCCAAAAGTATTCATTTGAGCTACTCAATTTTGCAAAGTGAATATTTTGTTGGAGGATTTTAATGTTTGAATCCTAGTACAAGTATCACTCATTATGTCGTGCTTTGTTCATTAGTGTAACATTCTGAGTATTGTGAATCTGTATTCATTTAAAAAAAATAATCATTAACTTAGCGAACATTCAACGTGCAAATCACACTCGTGGGAAGAAAATCTAGGTTGTATTATACTACACTCGACTACCTTTGAAAGGCTATAATTTGACTTCATAATACCTATAAATGTCATCTATAGAAACTAAAAATAGACTCAATGAGTGATTATGAAACGATCTTTTTTCCTCGTTTGGATACGATCACCTATTGTTAATAAACTTACGATTGATACTTATTATCTTATAGTTCTAGTGCTGTCATGATATTTTGAAAAAAAGATCATTACCATCTAATTATAACATGAAGAATCCTAGATAGAAGAAAGTATATACAAATGCAATTTCGTCGTAATATCAACATAGGACAATGAGAAATGGTATGTCGACAGGTTTGCAATCATCGCTATCGTCAATTTGTCATCCAAAACATAAAAGTTTGTAACTAAATCTGTCGGCGTAGAACCACAAAAGTTTGTTCCTTACTTATTGTCAACAAACAAATAAATGAGCAGTATCTATTGTTTGTAATCCATTAATTTGTCATAAACTGTTTTTACTGCCTCCACAAATATGATGTCATGCAACACATGCTAGACACAGAAGACAAGAGAAAAATGATTTCCTTATGTTGCATTCGTCGTTGTAATTATTCAACTAGAAAATCAATAGTAGCCGAAAAATTCTGCTTCCTTGCTAATCTTAACTAAAGTAAAATGATCATATGAAGGTAAAATAATGCTGAATCATCAATAATAGTAATAATAATTATTCCTCATATTAATGGCATGATTTTCTCGCAATATTTCTTTTTTCTTTTTTTTTTGTCCTGTTATGCAAATGTGAACAGAAGAAAATAGTAATCTAATTTGAGCAATAGGCTTTTTCTGTTAGTCAATGATTCGCCTTTTTTTCCTCTAATGTAGTCAAACTCGAGTAAAAATGATGATGGAACTTCATATCTTTGGTTTTAATATAAGTTGTCTGTAGTCTCTTGCTTTCCGCCTCTATTCACTGAATAGAACATGTAATCAATTTTGATCATCGATCAACGGTTCTTATATATTCGAATAGAATATTACTATCGTATTTCACCAATATACAAAGAGTATGGTTTGTGAAGAAAATATTCTAAAATAATACAATTTGAAGGGCACAAATCACAAATCGAACTCAAGAAAAAGTCATCATAAACATATCAACCTTTATCATCATTTGTATTGATCATATTCCCTAATTTATTTGTAGACCAAAAAAAGAAGAAGTGTCAACTAGAGAATGATGATTGATAATCGCGAATTTTTAGACATTTCACTCTTACACTAATGCTCATACTTGACCTGCAAACCGAGCAATAAGTACCAGAACGATGGTTTCATACGACAGAATAGATATACATCGGCAGAAATATTATAGAGATCTTTTCGGCATAATTTAATAATCGGATAAAATATTTATATGGCAGCTTGGCTTTTTTTTTATATCTATCTCTCTTATATTGATGAGAAATTAATTTCGTCGTAAAGAAATGAAATGTAATGCAAATACTATTTTCAAAGAAAACCATTGGTTCAAAATAAAAGAAAAGATGGGCTTGTTTGTTTGATAAGCAATAAAGTATTGATTATGCATTACGAATTTTGTTTTCACGAAAAATAAAACATTAGATGATCTAATTAAATCCATTCAAAATAACGTGCTCAAAAGTTGAAAATACAAAGATGGCTAGTAAAATGTATATTATTATTTTCTACAATACGTGTTCTCATTGGAATCACAACAATAAAAATATAAAATACTTGATCTCATAGTAGCGCTAGGTAGACAAACTCATTTCGAATCATTCGAATCGCCTGGAACGGATGGGCATGTATACATTTTTCATAACTTTAAATTCGAATTCGATCGTCTTACGAGGGAAGATCCCTGGGTGTTTCTCTGGGATTTTAACCAAAAGTAAATGGGTGTGTCAGGCAAGTATTGGTATCCCCAATATAAACAAATTAGCGGCTGAGAGCAAACGAATACAAAATTTCAGTGAACAAAGGTTTTTTTTATAAGCCTGAGGGGTACCACCAGTACTTTGTCATCAAAAAAATTCCTCTGCGGTACTCCTTAGGGTTATAAAAAAGTTTGCTCACTGAAATTTTGTATTCGTTTGCTCTCAGCCGCTAATTTGTTTATATTTGGGATGCCAATACTTGACCTGACACACCCATCTACTTTTGGTTAAAATTCCAGAGAAACACCCAGGGATCTTCCCGCGTTAGTATTGCTATAATCGATAATTTCTATAAGAGATTGAGTGATTGTGTCACTGAAGCTTGATTAAAAATACGATGCAAATGTGAATGATGTCGAATGGCTCGTAATGGCTCAATGAGTGTTTCTCTCATGGACATGTCTATGATTATTTAATAGCATACAACATCAATCTAAATAGACAAGGCTTCCAATTGATTACTTGTATATAACTCGGAACTATGCAGACCAGAAAGACTTTTGAATTTTAACGTACTCCTGTAGAAAAAGCTATATCTTCAAAATAATTAAAAATCAATGTCTTATATCTCATCAGAAACATCCGGCAGACTAATTCTCCAATTTTTCTTAAAAATTTTGCATTGAGACAAGCCTAAATCTAATTATTTTAATGTAGATTTTTCACATCTGCTTGGAAACTAAGTTCAATAAACTTTATTCTTGTATCATGAATAAGCTAAAACTTTGCAGTCTTTTTATTACATCCATAGGCCATTTGGATCGACATGATGCAAATAATTTCGATTTAAAAGCAAATAATCCATTTGAAGAGTGCACTCACAAGATCGAATACAATCAGAATGAACGTGAGAATTAGTTTTTTTCTCAGATCAAATATAGATACATAGCTATAAAAAAAAAGACATCTGTTAGCAGATACGTAAACAATAAAGTTTAATGAACAATGATTCGGTGTGTTAAGCTTGTTCAATTGATCTTTGTAGCTCTGCTATTTTCAGATTCATTATTTGTCAGAGTTTATTGGAAGAAATAAGAATTACAGATCTGTTTTGTATGTAAATGTGAGTATTTTTACATATATACATCTGAAATTCTTTTTTTTTTTAACATGAAAGTGCTCTGAAGAATATTATCAGTAGACTTTTTATATCTCTTCATTTGCATGAAAACTTTTTACTTGAAGTAAATCAACTGATGGTCTGATTGTCGAATAAGTCTATTGTTTTCCTATTTCCTTGTGTCCTACTTAATAAAAAAAGATGAGCTACAGTGCGCATATCTTGATTAAGTTTAGGTAGTACTCATCTGTCAGTGAAGATAAGTTGTAATAAAGACATAATTATTCCTTTTTTACGATAAAAATTGAATAAACGTATGCGTCAAATTATGGAAAAGATATATTTATAAAGACTAAACATTTAAGCTGCTTTCGTAAGATATTGATACTGATGATCACAAACATAAATGGATTGTACTAAAATAGTCTAGAAGGTATGAGTAGAGGTGTCAGCCGTGCAGCTGAGCCGCCGCAGCAGCCGAGTTTTCTATAATATCAGCAGCCGCCGCCACCAAATTGCTGGTAATTTTAAGAATTTTTGGGGAGCCGCCGCTGCGAAAAAACAAGTTTAGCCGTTGCGCCGCTACAAGAGATAAAAATTTTTGGTGGCACCATCCACCGCCGCTGACATCAATACATATGCGATCGAATCGAACATTTTTCTTTTAATTTTCATTAGCGAATTTTTATCTCAGCCGCCGCTGTCTCATAAGGACTTGCAAATATCAACCGACGTCGCCGCTGTGGAAAAAAATTTAAGAATTTGTAGCAGCCGCCGCTGAACACATTACTCATTCAAATAACGAGCCGCTGGAAATCTTTAAAAATTGAAAATTGTTGCCCGCCGCCGCCGTTCAACCCTTCGGCTGACACCTCTAGGTATGAGTGTATCTAAAAATGGAAAAAGTTCCTAAATAGATACGGATGCTAATGTTGACGCGCAAGTGTTTTCGAGAATCATTTTCGGGCTCTCCAACTTATGCAATTATGAAACTCAGATTTACTTATATATTATTTTGATTTGCAAAGATTAATTTCAAGTATCAAGCGTAACTTTAATATATAGCGTTATTCGTCAGATTTCGTCTGACTATGGACAATTATGCTCATAAAAAATAAAATAGAGGCCAGAAGAAAAATGATTACATAACTAATAGACGTTGGATACAGTTAAAAATATCTATGCGAATTCGTGATGTGGCAGTTTTATATCAAGTTATCCTTTTTAGTCAATTCGAAACGAAAATTTACTCGTACAAGAAAATATTTATTAACTTTTAAATAAAGCACATAGTTTGATTTATTTATAGAAGTTTTTTTTTCAAACAAACGAATCAACGAATATTCTTGTCCGACCATAAAAGAAAAGCTCGTTGATTTTCTGCTTTCGATGATTTTGGTTGTGGATTATTTTGCAATGTTTGTTCAATTGACTAGATATATGAACCAACTCATATGCGTGAAAAATGGTGCATCAAAATCGAAAATACTTACATCTGGTTTGATTCGAGATGACAATGATGATGATGATGATCTTTCAGTTGCAACAGATGGATGAAGAGATGTCGAATCGATTCGATCTGTTTGTTTATTTACTTTAGTCACAATATTTTTTATTTTATTACGTAAATTAACTTCATCGTTATTCGATAATGGTGTGTCATGAAGAACCTTTATTTTGTTTTTTGGAATATATCATATTGTTTAATGAAAAACTTGAAAGAAATTTGTCGAAAGTTTTTAGAGAAAATCTAACTTCATTTTGGTTTGGGTCTATCAAATTAAGTCAGTAAAAAATATGAAATATCCGGTTAGTTTCAAAAGCTTTTAATGCGGTGCGAAGCGCAGCATTCATGTAGTCCGTCGCGTGTTTTCTTTTTCTTTTGCTCTCTCGACGTACGCATCTTTTTCGTCATTTTGTGTCGCAATGATCTCGAGAACGGAAACTCATAGAAATGTCGTTAAAACGTGAGACGAAAGTATTCAGATCGAACTTCTTACATCTTTTTTTCGGATCATCGATCTGAAATTCCGTCCACTCACAAATGTGGTTCCAAAATGACGCAAATGAAAGGAATTTGTCGTTTTCAAGATTCGAGATAATTAAAATGACGTCATCAACAAATGCTAGCAACTAGTATATTCGCTCACAGCTGATAATAGATATTGAATCATGGAGATAATTAAATGTTCAATCGAAATCGTTCTTGCAAAACATGTCGCTAGACATACATGGGGTTTTCACAGTGGTGCATTTGTTAATGGTTACTTAATAAGTCGTATTTGAAATTTCGATCAACTGCTCAATGGAAAATTTTCGTTTTAAATTCTTATACATAAATAGCGAAGTCATTTCCACTAAGAAATGAAAGTAGAGAAGCCAACACCGATTTTTCGTTTCTTTTTCTTGGGAACTATACGTGCACATCATATCAGGTCATTTTCTGCCATGATGATCTCAAGACCAGAAAATCACAAATAACTCGTTCCAACGCATTGTAAACGTATCGAGATCTAACTGTTGATATCTTTTATCCCATCTTTCATCGGAAATTCAGTGCGCTCACAGATGTCGTTCCAAAAAACACAATGTTGAAAGGACTTTTCGTTTTCAAGATTCGAAATGATTAAAATGACGTAATGAAAAAATATTAGCCACTAGTCTATTCATTCACAGCTAAAACTACATAATAAATCATAGATATATTTAAATGTTCAATCGAAATCTTTCTATAAGAACACGCTCATAAGCCTTGATAAAGTTCTTGTAGTGATAGATTCGACAATAGCTGCTGTGAGTGTATTTTAAATTTCAATCATCTGCTCCATTGAAACCTTTTTTTTGTTTTTTTATTACAACTGCTGAAGACAGGAAACGGCGTATATTCCAAGCGAATATGAAACTAATCAGCTCAAAACGATGTATAATTAACTTTAAGACTGCTTGTTCCTTTTCCGTTAAATTTTAAATTTTTTCCTGTACTCAGCTCGTGCTTCGCACCGCATTTCGTATACGAATGAAACTCGAATACCATCTAGTTTCTCTTGTCGAAATGATTGGAAAATTAAAAGGAATACTTTATCTGAAAACTTTCGACGCATTCATTAAAATACTTTTTCCATTAAATTTTCCATATGTTGAGTAAGTTGCTTTTGTTCAAGAGCTCTTTCATTTTTTCGTTCATGTGCAAGAACTTTTCGTTCAAATTTCTCCGCTGGAGATTCAACATCTATGACTGCTTTTGTTCGTGGTACCATTACAGTCACATTCACTAAATCTTGTATCGTTTTATCTTCATTTTGCTCATTAACTATTTGTTGTCGTTTACTAGCAGGTACTAATTTCGTTGTGACTAAAAAATTAGGGACTACAATCAGAATGTTCAATAAAAAGAGAACAAATGATAATAACCAATCTGTGCACCAGCAAACATGATAATCTTTAATACTAGGCGAATATAACTATCATCGTAAATATGTTTTGATGGTAAATCGAAGAAAATCACAAAAAAAGCGCCCGCTCGTATTAGCTACTGTAATTCTTTTGCAAAGCCAAAGGAAATTTATATCGAAATAATTTAGCATTTGATTTACATACAATTATATCATGTTTTTGTTTTACTATCATTTTATTTTCATCGAGAATACTTCTAGCTTTTGAGGAAGTCACTATTTTATTCATTGTATTTAAGTGTATCGGCTTAGAAAGATACTTCGTGAAAATTTTGATAGAGAGATTGTTAATCATGTTTAATAAATTAGGAAGGCCTTACTTCGAATCCTGTATTTAATTAATTTACTCAGAGTTATCGTTTTCTTGGAAAAAGAACGTAAACATAAATACTGAATACTATTTAGATTGATCGTATTGAACCATGAAAAAATATGCAAAGTGCATACCAGCGTAAATAAGACGATAGTTCTAATCAGACTAGATTTGTGGCTTGAATTTTAGGATGACCTCATTCCATGAGGCCATTAGTTTTCACTAGTGCTTTATTTTTCCGCTAAAGAATATTTATATTGTAGAAAGAGATTAATGTAAGATCCAAGAAAGATGATAGTCTACAATCGATGCATTGATAGAACCTTGAGTTATGATGCTTTCTGTTTTTCATTCTACTGGCGTTTTATAGTCAAGATTAGTTTTCTGTGTTTTAATCATACCTCTGATTCCATCCAAATGATGGATACAATTAGTTTTTATCAATCGTCATTTTTGTTTCTTGATTTATATGTTTACACATGAATATTTAGACGGACGAATACCAATCAGTTCTGTTTAATTTTAGCATAATCGGGAAAATTCGAGTAGAAGAATGTTAAAAATAGCTTGTCAATAAATATTATTTTTTAACAGTTGCTCAATTACTACTAACACGCAATTAAAAAATGATCTTCTCTCTGACATCAGTAACTACATGCTATTATTCACTCGTACTTAAACCCCTGCACAGAATGGAAGCCCACCCTCTGGGTTAGATTTCTCCATTGAAAATCAAGGTTTACTTCATGGAAAATGAACTAAAACAGATAAAAAATGACAGGATGAACATTTCTCTATCAAATAACGCAACAACTGGCATCAGGGCCTGCTTTGTTACAAAATTATAGCTTGTGAACAGAGACACCACCCATGGGCTTCTATTCTGTTGGGGGGGNCAATATGAATAAAATATTTCATAACGATGCATTAAGTGTATATTTTAAATTCATCATTAATTAATGGAAAAATGATAAAAAATAGAATATTAAATAATATATTGAGAATTTAATTCTACTAATTTTTGTGTTCATTCTAATATTTTCAGCATTAAGGAGTTATACAAAACATTTTAGATTTGCATTCGCGATGGCCTTTAATTCTAGATAAGCTCTCAAGTTTTTGCACGTATCTAGTCCGGTAGAAGAATTGCCCATTTAGCCGATAACGTAAAATAAAAGGACATTGTTTTCGTTGATATAATATGCATAATGTAATCATAATGCATTATCCTCAACAATAATGATAAAATTTTCTAATAATCCATTGTTTTTTAATGAATTATTTGAAATTTCACCGTTATCTCTCTGCAATGCATTATAGTGCATTAAAATTTAAACCTATAATGGAATATATTTAATTAAAAATTTTCACGCTTTCAGTACATTTTATTCCATTGCACTTTTTAAATTTTAATGCATTGCAGAGAGATAATGGTGAAATTTCAAATAATTCATTAAAAAACAATGGATTATTAGAAAATCTTATCGTTATTTTAAAGATAACGTATTATATAATGCATAAAATAGGTTGCATCATAATTACACGACGTCCATTATTTTAGATTATGGGCTACATGAGTAGACACGACAAAAGTTCAAACTAGAAAATTCTCAATTGAAGATAAGACTCAGAAAAAGATAGATCCATCGTTGCAAATATATTACAGTTAAGATGCAGCGTTATATGTCGTTCTCATAGTGAAAAGAAAACAAACAACAGCAATAATGACGTAAGGGATTTTTTTCTACCAAGTAAGGCAAATTTTCTCTTTAGAAGCTGTTTTATTTCTAAATCGTCAATTGCGAAAAATATACGAATAGTCAAAGAAAATTATGCAAAAATAATTGTTGCCTATGCACGACGTTTCGATGACGATGAAGAAGACCTATTAAATACAATAAAAAAATAAATACTCAGCTAAGAAAAATTTACATTTTCATTAAATTTGATAAACTATCAACAAGAATATCCATATAGCGAAGTTTAAGATATAAATACAGTTGTATCATGACAAGAAAAACAACGCTAAAAATAAACAATAATTCATTTAGTTTTATATAGAAAAATTTGATTGTCATACATAAACATCAAAAAGCATAGAATTGGATTAGCGTGAGAAATGATTGATAATGTAAGATGGTCTAATATTAAAAATGAAAAAGAAAATGATGACATATTTAGTTTCAATTTTTACTTAATATGCCTTTATCAGCATTGTTTATTAATGGATCTGATGATTTAATACCGAGTGTGTCATGTCGACTCGTACGACGAGCACGTTTATTATTTACCACAGGAACTGGTAGTGTAACTCCATCCCGAGTTAGCAGACGTTTTTCTTCAAATAAACAAAGCAAATTCCTACAACAACAAAAAACGAAAGTTTGAAAATACTTGCCTTTCTTAAATTTGCTAATTAGATTAAGACGATTATCTAGAATTGATTTATTTTCTTAAAAAATCAAATTATTTCAATTTCGTTAACATACTCATATCTTTGAAACCTTCTATTGATGCTGTGAAAGCATTTCGTTCGATAAGTTCTAGAACAGAAACAAGATCGGTGAGTAATAGTCAAGTAGAAAATGTAAATAATGCAAACGTTTTATGAAACCAAGTACTTGTTTACAAAAACGAACTTGAGCAGTAATAAGTAAATGAGTTGTTGTCCCAGATGTTTGTAGGATACAATAACGCATCACCAGAGAAAATGTATCACTATATCTAACACCACTATTGAACAGTTCTGTTTCAACTTGATAATAAGAGCCAGCTTCTTTCTTTAGTATTGTCTGACATAGAGGAAAATACATAGTTTCCGTTGTTGTCAAAACAACAGATTTGGTAATAGTATTCAGAATATTTTGAAATAAGCTAATTCTAATCGAGAGAAACTACGTTGATGAAATTTTCTTTATATTTAACCAATAATAATATTATTTCGTTTTTTTTCTTCAAACGATTACTATCATATTACAAAGAAGAAATGAGTGTGAAGACTAAATGAAATGATATATTATACTTCAAAATTCAGAATGGATTATCGATTTTTAATGATATATTTTTGATGATCAATCACAATTATTTTTCTTTATTTAATTCTATTTAATTTATGAAATACTCGACGAAAGAAACGCTAGAAACTTCCAGTATGAAACTGTATGTACTTAGACACGCTTTTTATTATTCTAAAGTATTACTCAAAAAGTATTCTAAAGTACGTTGACGTGCGTCACACAAGCAAAAAAAACATGAAATTTTAAGTAACCAGTTGATCTGTTACGAAACGATCAGGCATGCCAATTCTATAGAACGTTAACGATTCACTATTACTATAGTATGATTTTGGAAAAAAATTGAAATAAAATAGTTATTAATTAAGTCGCCGAAATCCGAGTGTAATCAAGATAATGATCTCATCAGATTTTAATAGATCTATTGTATTAATAATAATTCTTATTACTTACTTGTCTTTCACGTGTGGTGATTGTTCCTCGTCCAACGAACGTAGATTCATAAGGCACTTTATAATTGAGCATTCTTTCTTCACAATTATCTTTTGCACTTGTATACCATTCTGTTGCTGTATCCTCTAAAGATATAATTCGTATTGTAAATCTTATAGCCATAAAAATAAAATCATTTCTTTGTATAACACACCATAAATACGTTGAGCTTGTCGATATGTTCGAACAAATTCATTCGCACCAAATATTAAATCAAACATTTTATCAGCAATTATGTTATAATTCGAATCGAGAAATACTTTATCAAAATGCGAGTCACAGGAACATTTACTTCTATATGCCGATGAATTTTGATCTGATACTAGTGTGCCAAGTTCGAAATCACTATCAGGATTATTAATTTGACTCGGTTTTAATAGTTTATCAGAATTTTTGGCTTTTTTCGATGATTTACTCGTTTTAGTAGAACGATGAAGAACTTCACCTAATACAGCCGAATCATCATCGACCGCTACAACTAACTAAAATGATATCAATGATCATTGTTACTGGTTGAGATATTTTGATTTTCTAATTTGACAATAATATAAGAGTACTCACATTCGCTGGTGATTTACCGCGTTTCTTCAATGTATGAGACATATTGCCAGAAAAAAGTCTACGGTTTCTATGCTAGCTGTTATTGAGCGTGCGCAATGAAATCTGACAACATTCATGCGCTAACACGGCTGGCTGTTTTTTCTTACAGCTCTTTTTCCTCCTATCAAGAATGGGTGAAAGGAAAAAATACAAATGCAGCGTGTGAGCTGTATGTAGAAGGCCAAAAATATATAACAAAAAGAGTCAATGACTAGAAAAAGAAAAAAACTACAACAAATAGCAATAATATAACTTGTTTAAAATTTGAAAAACACGAGTTCTACTATAGTCAAATCAATCAAGACAGCTTGTCGGATTTGAATAAAATTAAAAAAACTTTCATTATTTCAAGACTAATTGTTAAAATCATTGAATACTTGTTGATGTAAAAGACATCTGTAACGTATATTGCATGAATGAATCTTTATGCCGTTTACTAAATTAAATAAGCAAAAATTCAAGGTCATCTAGTCCCTTTTTTAAGCTTAGTTGTTTTTATACAACTCGTAAAGAAATATATTTTGACAAAAAGAAACAACAATAAAACAGTTTGACTTATATTCAAAGAGCACTCAACTAGAACGACAGATACGAAGTAAACAAATAAAAGAAAGATACGTTTAGTTATATTTAGTTTATTTTTGACATGTAAATTTATTGTCCCTATGATATAAGGTTGACAAAGTGATGTTTAAAAAAAAAGAAACTTTAAGAAAATCATAATAACAGTAACAATAAGAGTAACAGCAATAAGATAAGAAAAACATATGATGAAGATAAATTAACAGAAGATAGAAAAAATTAAAAAAGAACATCAGTTATACGAGTGAAGTACATGTGAACACTTATAAACATTACGACAATAGACTATGGCGACATCTTTTAAACGTTATACATATAGTAACCCAGGTCGTGGACGTACGGCGGGAAACGGCCGGAAAGCACAGGAAAGCGCTGGAAACTGGAAGCA